AGGGACAGTGGTTTGGACATGTCCAGAGGAGGGACAGTGGTTTGGACATGTCCAGAGGAGGGACAGTGGTTTGGACATGTCCAGAGGAGGGACAGTGGTTTGGACATGTCCAGAGGAGGGACAGTGGTTTGGGACATGTCCAGAGGAGGGACAGTGGGTATATTGGTAGAAGGATGTTAGAAATGCAGCTGCAGGAAAAAGACAAAGAGGAGACATATGGACGCAGTTAGAGGACATGGAGGTAGTTGGACAGAGGACAGAGAACTCAGAGGACAGAGTGAGGACAGAGGACAAAGTGAGATGGAGGAGAACTTGCTGTGGAGACCCCTGAAAAGGGAAAAGCTGAAAGAAGAAGACTATACAAGCTGTTAGCCGTGCAGTTTGGGCTCTTTTGCTCGTTTTTTTGTTGACAGGATGGTGAAACACTTGCTTTCCGGTTCTACGCTCTTTCATATAAATACGTTGCTCAACTTCCCCTGGAGGCTGAGCTACCCATGCATGCACTAATCCCCCGTCTTCTAGACTGACCTCTTTGAATAAATAGAAGAAGTGCTCAGAATTACAGGCAAATATTCCTACCTGTGCAAGAAAAGGTGTTTATCGTTGTAATAATTCTAATTCATGCACATTACTATTATGTGAGGGGGGGAAGTTGTAGAAAGCAACTTGCTATCCTGTTTTTAATTGAGTAAAGTACATTTTGACAGCAAATTGTGCAGTAAATAAAACTAAACTACTGTTATCTTGCCTACTTTAAATCATAGCTAATAAATGCAGTTTTCTTGTTTTTGTGCATTCAGGTTTTTATGACCTGTGTGATTAAGTTTCCATGCTGTTTTGTTTTCTTATCAGTCTGGACCTCAGACACTTACCAGCACCGCGTTGAAGCGCTCGTCCAGCTCCTCCTCTGGGGGTATGGGAAGTTTTGGGGGAGCCGGCTGCTTCATCTGCAGGGTCAGTGTGGGCTCGCTCATGGTTGAAGCTGCTCCGACTGAGCTCCTGGCCTCTCTGCCATCAGCAGGTTCTTGCTCCAAGCCCCCTGCAGCCGCATTCCCCATCACTAATCTCCACACGTAATCCAGGAGGAAAGCTGTGCACAAACCCCTTCACCTAAAAAAAAACAATAATAATCTATGTATTCCAAAGCAGAGTGACAAAAAACCCACTCTGTGATTAGAAACAGAGTTCAGAGCATTGAAGGTGAGGAACATGAAGTTCTGGTTCAAGGCACCCTTTTTTGTCCAGATGATGAAAACAGAAGGGTTGTCCTCATGTTTGTCCTGCCCTGCCTGAAAATAAGACAAAAGTGTCTAAGATTCAAGAAGAGACTTACCTACGTCTCACTAACTTTGCTCAACTCTGGCTGACTGAGGACTCTGGTGAGTAAAAGTACTGAGGCCTGCATGAGAGGAAGGAGAGGGGAGTGTGACACTCTGCAACACACAGAAACCACAAAAGCAGAAGAGCAACTTCCTGTGTATGAAACAGCAGCAGAACCTGGTGTGGACAGGGTGGAAGATTAAACTGGTAGTGCTCGCATCATACATGTAAATGAGTCCTCGAGGCTCAATGGGATTTACCTGTCTAAATAAAGGTTGAATGAAAATGGGAAAAAAAAAATACAAGTGTGAGATAAAATAACCTAAGACCAAATAAGAGGTAGGGTTAAGGGTCAAGTCTGTAAACACACTGATTGCTTCAGCAGATAAGAATTTACAAAAACAAAAAAATCAACCCGTACTTTACCATGAACCAACTCTTCAAGAAGTGTCTGAGAGGGATGTTTTGAAATCTGACGGCAGGTTGGTCTCGTCTCAGGTAAAAGCAGGGCCACAGTGGCAAACATTGCGCAACAGCGACCTCATGCGTTCACAATGGAACACTGCAGGCAGTGGTGCTGCATTTAGGGATCAAACAGAAAAGTGTGTAGCATCGACCGTGTGCAGTTTTTGTTCTGTTGTGAATGCTAATACATAATAAAAGGCTTTAAATGGTCAGAAAGTGAATGCCAAAATTTAACACTGTTTTTATGTTTGAGATAGTTTTGTTTACTTGAATGATTTTAAGATTCCAGAAACCTTTGAAACAGTTTCATGACGTTTTCAAGGAGCTCCTGAAGGCAACGGCGTTATTAGTTATTTAGCATTCCAAGATGACGGATCCGACGACGTCTCCAGAGGACCACTGGAAAGTAAGTGACATTATCAAAACTCGACCTTTAAAAAAAACATTTAGTAGTTTTCTGTGTGTGCCTGGCAGCAGTACTTTTTAATTAGCTGTTATCCAAACGCTGAAGTTTGAACAGGGTTTTGATAGCTTCACAGCTAGCTAACGTTAGCTTGATGACGTTTGTAGCTGCTAGCTAGCAGGCTAGTTAAGTAAACAAAGCGCACCGAAAAGAAGAAGAAAACAAAAAAACTGGTGTTAACCGTTTTAAATTCAGTTGGTTGTAACGTAGCAATTCACCTGCATACATATTAAAACAATTAAGTCAGAACACCAGTTTTAAAATGCTCTTTTAGATGTTTAAATCTCAAAAGGTAGTTTCAAAAAGCGACCACGTCGCCACCGCAGCCCAGAATTGGTAATAACGCAAATAAATGCCCCAGTTATATCTCATTAACATGTGCAGACATTAACTTTGCGTTCAAACGCTGCTTTTTTATCTCGAGTTCATGTAAAGTGTGTGCAGCCCCATAAATAAAATGGCCTTTGTGTTGTGGTCCACGCCAACATCTGTAATTAAGCTGCTGTTGGACACTTTTTATCTTCTGTGTTGGGACAGCCAGGGCAGTGCTCAGTGGGCTTTGCTGTTTTGTCCTTTATCAACATATTTACTAGGCCTCGTCATCCCAACCTCACAGCCTGTTCTCTTTATTTTTATTCCTTTATTTTTATTTCTTCTTGCTCTTATGGCTGGACAGACAGATGGGGCTTTCAGTGACGGCGGCTTTGACACCAGTGAGTACTTCCTCAGCTGAGATCTTCTTTTCCTCACATCATTTCATATTTGGGTATGAGGATCTGTGATGCACGTGAACTGTCTTTTAAATGTTGTTTTCTAGGTTTCTTTGCTGAAACTGCCAGGAAGGGCAGCGTTGTGTCCAGAGCCAACAGTATTGGCTCCACAAGTGCCTCTTCAGTGCCAAATACAGGTGTTTCTTAATGACACACATTGATTTCACATTGCTCACAGTTTGTTGTGCTTTTGCAATAACTGCAAAGTTTGCGGGACATTTCTAATCTCAGATTAAATGTAAAATGTTACACGGAGAATACTTGTTGAAGAGTAAAATGTCTTATTTGTCATTATGGTCTTTAATGTATTTGGTCTTGTGTTTAGAGAAAAACACATTTTCACACTTGTAACTCATTTCCCACAGAACCGTGTCCCACTTTTATTCAAGTTTCCTAAAATTTTATCAACAATTTGACTTAAAGCATAAACACTTTGCCGCCGAAATGAAAAAATACTTAAATATTGACTACATTTGTGAAGGGTTTCTCTAAGTTTTTAACAACTTCAAACATTCATAGTTGACATTTGTTTTGGGTTGGAACAAGAAAACTTTGTTTTTATTGTTGCGTTCTGCAAAATGTAACAACAAAATGGTTGTAAATTACGTGTGTGCAGTAACGGATGCCAGTGGTAATTTTCATAGTAAAACTTGATGCGCTTCCAAACAGACGATGAAGACAGTGACTACAGGCATGAGACGTCGTATAAGGACTCGTATAAAGATCGGCGGAGACAAGCGCACACACAAGCTGAGCAGAAGCGCAGGGACGCGATCAAGGTTCGAGACTACTGCACCTTTCTGGCTAACACAATTTAAAGTTGCTTAATTGTAAATGCTTGATGTTTGTGGGGTTTGTAACGACAGAAAGGCTATGATGACTTGCAGTCCATCGTGCCCACCTGCCAGCAGCAGTCTGAGTTTGCAGTTGGAGCTCAGAAGATCAGCAAGGCCACTATTCTGCAGAAAAGTAAGATGTGATCTGACCAGTCTGTGTAAAGAAGCAGCAAACCATTTGTCTTTTGTGTAAATCATCTTTAATTTATTAGTTATATTGTAAAAATACTCACACTGGTGACTAAGCCATAGCGTCTAGCTTTCCAAAGTAGTATTACAAACTGAGCTACTTTTTTATTTATCAAGTTTTATTTGTTTAGCATGTTTCATGCATAATATGCCTTCTGAATCAAAAAATATATATTTGAAAGTGCATAAAACTGCACATACAAACACGAAATGGAGAATACTGTATAGAGGATCCTGCAGGCTTCTTTATATTCATCAATGAAAATGTGTTGGACGTGCACGTTTTACAGTAGACTGAATGAGAAGTAGCAATGACGATAACTTTGATGTTGTGAAGAGACCCCTGACGAGCGCGTCTCTTTGTTTCACTTTTAGCAATTGACTACATTCATTTTCTTCATAAAGAGAAGAAGAAGCAAGAGGAGGAAGTTTCCATCTTAAGAAAAGAAGTCATGGCACTAAAGATCATGAAAACGTGAGACGATAATTCACATTCTGCAGAAAAGTGGCACAAATCTGATTTATTTATTTATTTTTTATGACTGTCTCAACATGACCAGTTCATTTTTTTCCTTTAATGTGACCCAAGTCACTTTTATTACTAAAACACATGTCCAGTGCTTTTCAAAGTGATCTTGTTGCCTTTTCTCTCACTTTGACATCATTAAAGTAGAGGCATGTGAATTGATTCAAATATTGATATTATTGATAACATGCAAATTAAAGTTTAGAACTCCACATGTCTACAGGTACAAAACAAAGTCCAGCTGTGGCTTTTAGAGTTGCCATGTCCTGGATGGCTGAGAGTCTTTACCAACATATGATACAAATGTTTGTGTTGAATCGTATTGATCCTCCCATAATGGGATCAATACTTGAGTTTTTCTTTCCTCTTCTTTCAGCATGCCACTTCCATTCCAGATGTGCAGTTTTGCACCTGAGTAGATGAGAAGCAGCAAGATCAAATGCAAACACTGGACAAAACAAGCGTAGATAATAATTCAGTTATAAACGGTAAATGGACTGTACTTGTATAAGCGAAGCGCTTTACGACACCACCGTTTACCTCCACACACGTTCATCCAGCGCTCTGCTACATCTGTACAAGCTATCGGAGCTTTAGGTCACATTCATACACCGATGGGACACATCAGAGACAATGAGGGCTTCAGACACTTCAACCTGCGACTGCTGGTGGAATCGAACCTCAAACTGTCCCATTGGAGGACGACTGCTCTAACCACTGAGCCACAGCCGCCCAATCACGCAACAAACATAAAACTGATGCGCACCAACGTGCAGCGTTCACATTCACTTCTGTAAACCCAGCGTGCTTCGTGGAGATCACCTCTTTCTCTGCGCATGCGGTTCAGGGCTGTTGTTCCCAGCGGAGTTTGATCGAGGCTGCATTGAAAATGTGAACAGTGACACAAAACATTTAAATCTCAGCAAAAGATCAGAACTGACCATTAAGATCTGAAGTGACTGGAGCCTAAGACTTCCCCAGATCTTCGAACTACTGCTCCATTTTCATTCCAAAGTCCCGACTCTTCTGCGTCCATGTAGAAGAATTTGGAGTTTGGAAGAAATGCATGAAACTGTGGAAACCATTTAGAGAAAGCCAAATGTTGTTTTTTTTATCTATATATATATATCTATATATATTAATGACCAAGCTCTGGCTGTTAATTGCATTGTTTTTCTAAATTAGGAACTACGAGCACATAGTGAAGGCCCACCAGAACAACCCTCAGCAGGGAGAGGACCAGGTTTCCGACCAGGTCAAGTTCAGCATCTTCCAGAGCATCATGGACTCCCTGTTCGTGTCGTTCAGTAACTCCGTTTCAATGAGCAGCTTCCAGGAACTGTCTGCGTGTGTTTTTAGCTGGATCGAGGAGCACTGCAAGCCACAGGTAAGGAATGTTCTCGATCGTGCACAACAAACCGTAGATCGTTGTGCCGAGATAATGACCGCGCTCCTTCTGTACTTTTTTAAGACGCTGCGAGAGTTTGTTGTTGGAGTGCTCCGACAGCTCAACGGGCAGCTTTATTGATGGAGGGAAACGCCTCAAGTGAATTTCCAGAAATAGACTTTTGCCTTGCCGCTCAGGATGGAGTGAACAAGAAGCTTCAGGCCTGGCCACAGTATTTACACTCACTCCAGCTCCAACTGACACCACCCTGCCTGCAGGTGGATTACCTCATCACACTTTTTGGACAGAGATTAAAAAAAGGTTTTGATTAGAGTAAATACTTCAGAGGAATCCTCTTCCTTCTGACCTTTTATTAGGAGCTACATTTACAGAAACCTGAATGTGTTTTGCTCCTGACTCTTCATTAACGCTTAGAAATGTAGCAGATATGTTCAGTTAAGCATGCAGACGGAACGATGTAGCGTTCAGCTACTTCTGATTTACTTGATGCAGTAATTTTACTTTGATTTACTTGATGCAGTAACTTGTGTTACCAATCTTTCTCGTCACATGAAGTGTGAAAGCTTAACATAAGCTTGTCAACTTTGATGCGTTGGCACCGACTCAGTCCTGGTTTGACTGTAATCTTGTTCCTACATGATCATTTCAGGGTTACAGGCGTCTCTAGATATTTGGAACCTCAGAATTATTTCTCATGGTTAGCTTTAAATAGTTTTCTTTGGTGTGAAAACGTTCTGGTTGAAGCAAATGGCAGTTTGTATTACAGGAGTGATGTAAAACGTAGAAATGTTGTAAATATGCCAGTTGGCAGGAGACTTCACTTTAATCCTTTTATTTATGTAATTCAGCCGCACCTGCGCAGTTAAACAGCTACAATGATCCTTCTTTCAATTTTAGGTTTCTAAAAAGTGTGAAACTAGTTTTACTTAATTTGAGACTGTTGATCTGTAACGCTTTAAACTATTCGTGCCACTGAAAAGACAAACACTTTAAAGTGTCACAAGTTTCTACTCCTTGAAAACTATTTGATTTTTCTTGGTTGTAGAAAACATTTGACCGTTTCCCGGCTCCGTGTAAACATTGTTATTGGTTACAGGTGTAAAAAACTTTACAACAGAACTGTAAATTTTACATTTAAAAGGTCAAAATGTATTTATTTTGGATGCACGTTGTAACTTAACTGCACCTTTTATTAAAAAAATGCAGTTCTTTTAGTTGCTTTTACAAAACGTGTAAAAAGCTGAATAAATTGCCGACACTGATAAGTTTTATTACATCAACATTCAGTAACCAGTCAAGGATCAAATCACTTTTAGGAAAGTAAAGTTATTTTATTTAGAGATGACCTAAATTACAACAAAAATAAACTTCAAGAGAAAAAAGACAATTATACAACTTTGCAGACCATCAGTCCTGCAACAGTTTAAGATGATAAAACATTAGGTTTTAAACTTTACAGTTAATAAATAAACATTTGAGAAGTCAAAATGGAAAATAACTTAACAATTGAAACATTTTAAACACCACAGCAAAATGTATACATGGGGACAACAAAAGTATGAATATTTATTATGAATATTTTATTGACGTCCGTCAGCTCAGGCCTGTAAAGTTTTAAAAAGGGACTAAATAAAGTACAGTTGCCTAAACGATCATCCCTCAGTGCAGTCACAAATTATCTTTAGCTAATCTGACAGATCATTTTGTACAAATGTACGTTGATTTTTTTTTCTTTTCTTGTCAGCATTTACTATTTATTCAAAAGAAATGTATTAAAGTATACACTGCTGTGATGTGTACTTGTTTTCTTGGCTATGGTCCACACCAGCTTGGTTCATGTACTTGGAATAACTGCCTTATAGTCTTCATCAGTCTCTACTCCAACTTCCTCCTGTAAAAAAAACAACTAATTCAGTTTATTTAAATAGTCACAAGAGAAGTCGTCTCAGGGCACTGAACAGAAACACACACACATTATAAAAGCCAGTCAGTAAAGTTCTCGATGTAAAGAAGCAGCAGATCGTGATGAATCTTCACTTCGTCACAGTCTCCCATCCTGAGCAAGCACAGAGGAGACAGTGGGAAGGAAAAACTCTGTTTTAACAGGAAGAAACCTCCAGCAGAACCAGGCTCAGGATGAGCGGCCATCTGCTTCGACCGGCTGTGGTTTGAGAGGACAGGAAGGAGAAACACACAACGGCAGGTCCAGGTGAACGTTCTGCTGGAGGAAACAAAAAAACTCATGTTTAGAATCGAAACGATTCCAAATCTGAACCGGTGGAGTCGAGCGAATAAGACCGCCGCAGTGAGGAAATGGTCGGTTCGTCTTCCAGCAGTCTAAGCCTATAGCAGCATCATTAAGAGATGGCTCAGGAAACCCAAGCCGACCCTAACTATAGGATTTATCAAAAAGGAAAGTATCCCAGTCTTCAAACTGGACAATGTGTCAGCCTCACGGACAGAAACTGGAAGTTGGTTCCACAAGAGAGGAGCCTGAGAACTGGAAGCTCTGCATCCCATTACACTTTTGGAAACTCTAGGAACCACAAGTAAACCTTCAGTCCGAGTGTGAAGTGCTCTGTTAGAAAAGTATAGAATAGTAAGATCTGTAATAGAAGATGGAGCTAGGTTGTTGAGAGCTTTGTAGGTTAGAAAGAATCTGTCCAGATGACGTGACTTCAGTTCGTTGTGGTTTATTTACCTGGATGACTGAGCTTACACCAGGATATTCTGGATTATATTCTGAATTCGACAGGGAGCCAATGGAGAAAAGCTAAAACTGAAGAAACACAATCTACTAACTCGTTCAAACTGGCAGCAGCATTTTGGATCAACTGAGACTTTCTGAAGTTTCTGAACACCCACACAATAAATAACTGCAATGGTCCAGCCTAGATGTGACAAATGCATGGATCCGTTTTTCTGCATCATTTCAGGACGATGCTTTTCATCTTAATATATTTACAGACAAGTACTGGCAACTATTTTACATTTTGAGCAGTTGATTTTTGTTGCTTTAGCTCACCAGGAACTCCTTTTTGCTCTTTGGATATCCCTCTAGGATGGCGTTCATCATGTCTGAAGCCTGACGAAAACAAAGCACTTCTTTACCATAAAAAACTTTCGACAACCGACCCTTAGAAAAAACACTGTTTCAAAATAATTGCATTTTAGAAAAAGTTCTACCAGTCGCTTCCTCTTTTTCCACTCTTTCACGTAAACATCTCGGTCTTTATATACCTGTAAAACAAAAAGTACCTTATTGTACAAGAAGTGCAGAAGTACAACAGACGGTTGTTTTTTTTACCTTCTCCTTCTCTTCTGGTGTGACGTGATTTGTAGCCGATTTGATCTTCTCCAGACGAGCTTTGTACCCAGAATTCTCTGCTTTGAGCTCTTTTGTCTCTGCCGCCATTTCCTCGGTGGTGAGGGAACTGTTCAGCTCCTTCAGCTCTGGGAGCAAAGTATTCTCTTTTCAGTGAAATGCACTGAATCAAACGATGCGAAGATCAGCTGTGTCTTGTACCTGCATCCAGCTGTTTGCAGCTCTGAGTGAGGGTCTGCAGCTCTGCACTGACCTCCGAGATCTGATCATCCATAGCCTTCAGGTCCGATTCGTTCACATCTTTAAATTGATCCTGCATGAGATTAACAGCAGGCAAGTTAAACAGTCTGTTCACAGCAAAACATTTAAATTAGCATCAAGAAGGTCCTGGGTTCAATCCCCGGTTGGACCTGGGGTCTTTCCGTGTGGAGTTTGCATGTTCTTCTCGTGCTTGCCTGGGTTTTCTCCCACAGACCAAAAACCTAAGTCTACCTTCAGGCCCAGGCCTTCCTTGCATGAGAGATCTGTGATCTCAGTGGGATTTCCCTGGTTAAATAAAGGTTAATAAAGTAAAAACAGACTGACCTGACTGGCAAAGTAAATTTTCTGCTTGCCATAAGTTTTCTCCTTTATCTTGCCCTCCACAGCCAGCAGCTCCATGGCTTTGACCACAGCCTGATGGGAACATGCACAAACACCTATAATGTAAGAATATCCTGATGCACGCTCAATAACAATGCAAGAAGTTTTTACTGAAGTGATCTCACCGTTTTGCCCAATCCGTGCTGCTTCTGCAAATTACAGAAGACATCCTGTGCGCTGTAAGGTCGGTTCTTTTCATTCAGGTAAGAAAGAATCAGTGACGCCCCTGCAATCACAGCAAAGTTACGACGTCATCGCACTTTGAGCAACATTTGTACTGGCGCGTTTTCATCCCTAACAAAAGTCGTAGAGGAGCTAGCTAGCGTTAGCTGCATGCTAACTTTGAGCTAAACTTCCTCACAGTTGAATCAAACGTGCTTTGATCAATCCATACCGTGTCACATAACACAAATTTATCGTTTCAGTTTAAAATCTTCTGTCATAAACATATACATTTTAATATACCGTTATCTTTTTTGCTCATTTTCAACGGGCTCTTCACTTCAGCTTCCTCGTTTGAGTTTTGCGCAAAAACCTTCTTCTTCTTCTTCTTCTTGTCTTTTTATGGCGGTTGGCAAACAGCTTAAGGTGCATTACCGCCACCTTCTGGATTGGAGTATGGACAAGATTCTAAAAAAAAACCAACTAAATCCTTTCCAAATTCCCTGTTCTTCTCAAAAACCTAAAGATGCAGTTAAAACTTATATCCCCAGACGATCTTTGCAGCAATTCCTTTATCTCTAATTTAGTTGTATTTAATTCTCTTTTTAACATTTCTCTTTCGTGTGTATATTTATTGCATTCCATGAAAATGTGTTCTATTGTTTCTGTTTGTCCACAGTGATTACAACAACCTGTATCATGTTTGTTAATTATTTTCAGTGTGCTGTTTAATCCCGTGTGCCCAAATCTCATCCTCGATATTATATCTTCTTCTTTCTTTATTCTATTACCTTTCCTTGAGTCCCCAACTGTTTTCTGGATGCTATAATAATACCTAGCACTACTTTCTCTATCCCATTGCTCTTGCCATTTATTTTTACAATATAGTTTTATTATATTCTTGACCTCACTTTTACTTATTTTAATATTTAAATCCACGTTGGTTTTTTTTGCAGCATTCTTAGCAAATTTGTCCGCCAATTCATTTCCTACAATCCCAATGTGAGCTGGAATCCATAATAATTTGACATCAGACCCATTACTTTTAATCCTGAAAATTAATTGAGTTATTTCTAATATAATATCTTGCCTCGAGTTTGATTGTGCCTCCTGAATACTTATTATTGCGCTACTTGAATCTGAGCAAATAATGACCTTTTTTCCTCCACTGTCTTCGACCCACTCTAAAGCCATACAGATTGCCACTAATTCTCCTGTATGTACTGTTAGTTTATCAGGTATTCTTTTATTTTTCATAATATTTAAATCTGGTATTACAAAAGCTACACCAACTTTATTATTTATCATTTTAGATGCATCTGTATAGATTTGAATATATTGTGAATATTCCCTGTCTATGTATCTTTCCACTGTAGTACTATCTAATTCTCTCCCTCGTTTCAATAAGCTTAGGTCAGTGGTGATCTGTCTAGTGATCCATGGTGGGACAGTAGGAAGAGCAACCGCAGGACTAATTTGAAAATTATTTATTCTGACATTTTCAGTTTTATCTATGATTTTCCATCCAAAACTGTTAAATTGTTTCTTTTCTTTTTCTTGACACGGTTGAAGAGTGTTTAGTGGAGGATGAGTTTCATTATGCCCTTTAATATTGGCCCAGTAAGTTACGGCTATTTGTGTTCTTCTAAATTCTAGTGGCATTTCCCCCATCTCAACCTGCAGAGCTGAGACTGGGGTAGTTTTCATAGCTCCACAACAAAGCCTTAAAGCTTGATATTGTATTCTGTCTATTTGTTTTAGTAATGTGTTTGAAGCTGAATTATATAAAATACTTCCATAGTCCAAAATTGACCTTATTAACCCAACGTATATTGTTTTTAATGCTTTCCTATCTGCACCCCATTCTTTACCTCTCAAACATCTAATTATATTTAGAACTTTTTTGCACTTTCCTACAATATTATCTATGTGTATTTTCCATGCAAGTTTTTTATCAAACCAGATGCCTAGATATTTGAATTGATCTATTCTTTCGATGTTGTCCCCATACAGTTTGAGACTGATATTAGGATTTAATTTTTTATTTGTAAAAACAACAAATTGTGATTTGGATGTTGAAAATCTGAATCCCCATTCTAATGCCCACTTTTCTACATTATTTAATGCCTCTTGTACTTTCCTTTCAATAAATTCTGTATTCTTGCTCCTTTTCCAAATAACCCCATCATCTGCATATAATGAGACGCCACAAGATTTATCTACATTCCTAAAAATATCATTAATCATTATACTAAATAATATTGGACTAATTATACTGCCTTGGGGAGTACCATTTTCCATTTGATAATTTGAACTTATTTCACCGTTTATTTTTACACTAATACTTCTTTCAGTTAAAAAATTTTGTATCCATCTAACTATTTTACCTTTTAAACCCATTTGTTTTATTTTAATCAATAACCCTTCCCTCCACAACATGTCATATGCTTTCTCCACATCCAGAAAAACTGCAATCACACTTTCCCTGTTAGCCTGGGCCCGTCTAATTTCATGTTCCAGACATACTGCTGGATCTATCGTACTTCGCCCTTTCCTAAATCCAAATTGATATACCTTTATTTTCTCCTTAGATTCTAAAAAATAATTTAGTCTGTTATTTATCATTTTCTCCATAACTTTACCTACACATGATGTTAGAGCAATTGGTCTATAACTTTCTGCTAAATTAGGATCCTTCCCAGGTTTACAAATAGGGACAATAATGGCTTCTTTCCATTTGTTTGGTAGTTTTCCTTCCTCCCACACCTTATTATATAATTCTAATAATATTTCCTTACTCACATCACTAAGATTATTCAGCATGCAATAATTAATTTGATCTTTGCCCGGAGTTGATTTTTTGGAATTCTTCAATGCTTTATTTAGTTCTATTAAAGAAAATTTCATATTAATAGCATCCTCATTATCTTCATCATTATCAAGCAACTCAATATTCCTCCTTAATGTTATTTCACGTCCTCTTTTTTCATTATTATTCAGATTCTCCGTACTATGTATTTTTGCAAATACTTTAGCTAATGCTTCAGATTTACTTTTATTATCTATTATAATATTTCCATTATCCTTAATTATTGGGAAATAATAGTCTCTTGAGTTCCCAGACATTTTTTTAATAGTATTCCATACCCTATTTAATGGAGTATTTTTCCCCAGTGATTCACAGTATTTTCTCCAATAATCCCTTTTAGCATTTCTTATAATTTTCCTAACTTCTGCTTGTTTCCTTTTATAAGTTATCAGATTCTGGAAACACATATTATTTTTCAAAGCTTTAAATGTCTTATTTCGCTGTTTAATTGCTGTTGTGCATTCTAATGTCCACCATGGTACTAACCTCTTCTTTTTGATTCCCTTACTTTTAGGTATAGAGCTTTTGGCTGTATCAATTATAGATCTACTAATTTCCAAGTTCAATTCATTTATTGGTTTATTTGTATCTATATTTTTCATATTGATCTCGCTAATCATGTTAAATTTGTTCCAGTCTGCCTTTTCAAATTTCCATCTCCCTTCAATCTCTATTTGGCCTTGCTCTGTATCTATTCCTATGTTGATAAAAATTGGGTAATGATCACTACCTACTGTGCTTTCTGTGCTTACTCTCCAACTGCTAATATCAGCTAGAGGTTGGGAAACCAACGTTAGATCAATAGCAGATTCTTTACCCCTAACAAAATCCACCCGAGTGCCTAATCCGTTATTTAATATTACTAGCTCCTTTTCTTCAATTATATCTTCTAGAATCCCGCCGTTATAATCATCTTGATTACCCCATAATGTGCTATGTGCGTTGAAGTCCCCACACCAAACTATTTTCCCTCTCCAGTGTTCTATGATTGATTCGAGTTTTGATTTTTCTAATTGTTTGCATGGATTGTAGTAATTTATGATTTTAATATTACCCTCATTTGTCCAAACTTCTATAGCAATGACTTCTAGATCCGGTGTTGTATGGATTTGGATAAATTTCAGATTTTGTTTTATGAATATAGCACAACCTCCTCCACTCCCTCTACTCCTATCTTTGCGCAGGACTGAATATCCATGAATGCTAAACTGTAATGCTGGTTTGAGCCATGTCTCTTGAATGCATATAATGTCCGGTTTTGTAGTTAAGGCATTAATGAAGCCTTTAAATTCCTGACCATTTGCTATGAGACTGCGGGCGTTCCATTGTAATATTAAAATTATGTGATGTTTTGAGAAGCCTCAGCCTCAGACGATCCTTCTCCAGTGAGTTCATTGTGGATTTTTTCCCAAGACAAATCTTTTACATTAAAAAACCTTGCTGCTGCCTTTACAATAATCTTTATTTTTTCCGTTTTAGTCTTTGCCTGTTCTGAGCAGTTTATGATGTATGCCATGAATGGAATCAGTTTTTCTAGTGTGATATTTTCTTGGTTGTTATCTGTAGTTTTCTTTTCTCCATAGTTTGTTTTCTGAACGGTTTCCTTGCTGTTTACCACTTTCACTGCTTCTGCATATGTAATGTTCTTGTCTGTTTTGATTTGTTGAACTTCAACTGCCTTTTTTCTTATCACACATCCTGCATATGCTGCAGTATGACTTTCCCCGCAGTTACAACATTTGACAGGACTATTCCCACACTCACCATACGGATGTTCACCCCCACATCTACCACACCTCTGTTTCCCTTTACAAACACTAGCAATATGTCCGTACCTTTGGCATTTGAAGCACCTGAGAGGGGGTGGAGTATAGACTCTCACATTAAAGCTCATATAACCTACCATTACTCTTTCTGGCAGAACTTTATTTTTGAACTCTAGTAATATTGATGTACTGTCCACTTTTTCTCCATTCCTGGAGGCCTGTAATCTTTTCATGCCTGTAATATCTCCTCCTTTTATTACTTTCTTTAACTCATCCAGATTTTCACCAACAGGAATTCCTGTAATTACTCCTCTTACTCCTCTTTCTTCCCCAACAATCTTTCGTTCCAGCACTTCCTTTTTGCACACGGTTTGTAATTTAAGAGTCTTATTTTTTTGTTCAGCATTTTTACAAATGATCAGCAGGTTTCCATCACGTAACACTTTAACAAGTTCTACATCCCCAATCGCTTTCTTTATTCCGTTTGACAAACTGATAGGACTTACTCCAAACATATCCTGCCCTGCTTTAAATTTTAGTATAATTTTTATATCTTCCACCATTATTTTCTTTCTTATTTCAGGTCTGTCTCCCTCGTCGTCAAACGCTCGTTTTCCAGTTGCCGTTCCTTTTTTAACCTTTTCTTTTCCTCCTCCCCTTTTCTTATTCTCTATCCTAGACCATCCTATATCCATTTCTTCATCCTCTGTCAACCCTCCACTACTACTAGCCATCTCGTCCACTCACAATCCAGATTATGCCAAAACCGCCTTATTCAAACTTTTTACTCGCCAAACTCCGTCCACGTCCTGCAGCACTTCCGTCTCCTCCGATCCCTCGCGCGACCAAATATCTGCGCAAAAACCGTACGTCATTGTAAAGATCGTTTATATATGAACAGATGCGTCACGCCAACTGAAAATCTTTACCCGTTAGCGAGATCCGAAATATAAGCAGAGTGAGACATCTGTAATATGGCTTGTCGTTTTTGGTTAAGATCTTTGATTGGAGGTTCAGTTTATTTTCAAGTTTTCATGTTCGACAGGAAGTAAAAGTTTTAAAACCCCTTTTTGTCATGTTGCATTACAAGACAAAGTTTGTTGCAAGCGTTTTATTCAATCCAATTTTCACTTCAAAACGTATCAAAACCAGATACATAGAAGAAGATACAACATTATGTGCATGAAATGACCACACTACAGATGACCTATGCTGAAAATTTGACTTTTCATTAAGCAGCTTCAACAATCAGACCAAATCAAACAAATACATTCAAAATTTCTCTAAATGTCAGTATTATTCCATCAGCGCACCTTTTGTTTCCAACTCTATAAATGTGGGTCTGGCTGTTCTTTGTTGTAATAAAAACCTTGCTGTTAGAAGTTCAGTAAAAACAATGAAAACGATGCATCCGTCTAGAAAACAGCCTTTTAGAATCCAGATAATTGCTATTTATTAAGTCAACTGTGATATACTTTAAATGAAAAGTGCCATTTTTAAAATCACCAGAAACCAGCGCAGAAGCCACTTTATCAATTAACACAAAAAACTTATTACCCAACTCTGATGTAAACATAGTTTCATTTTAAAACATAAAAAGCCTTAAAGCCAGAAAAAAAAAATCTAAAAATGTTAATCTTGACTGAACACAGAAAAGACTAAAATAATTTTCTTTAAATATAAAAAGAAATCAAATGAAGATTACTTTAGAAAAGAGGAAAATACAAAGACAGCTTATGCAAGCTAACAAACAATGACACTAACGGGGAAAATATTCTAAACTTGACATGAGGATTAACCACGAGGACACAAGAACAAACATAACGTTACTCTTCTGGCTCAGTTAAGACTTTGATGTGGCCAACAAATAAAAAATAAAGTGTTTCTACAAGTAAATCAGCAGAAAAGAGGGACACAAGGATAAAATTGTTCATTTTTATGCTTCTTGTTTTAGATGCAAATTTGTCCAAAACCACATTACCTGATAAAGGGTTTAAAAACTTAAATGAAGCTACAAGAACCTGTAACATCAAATTCAAATGCAATGAATGATTTAAAGGATTGAGTTATAGCAGTAATAACTATATCTGGTTCATAAAGGTATGAATATTGCAATGATGTAATGTATTTAGCATTAAATGCTTTTTATTCGTGTTGGTTATCAAAGATGGCTCAGGTTAAGCAACAGGAATGTTGTTTTTGGTCCTGTGTTTAGAACGCCCTGTATGTTGAGTCCTCGTGTAGAAACATTTCACGGAGCACACGTACGTGCATGTTCTGGACGAATCGAGTTGCAAAACTGCAGTAAGGTTCAGAAGTGCTGTTTGTTTTCGTTGTGTTCCCTATTGCTCAGCCTACAAAGTAAAAACTCTTCGTGATAAGAGTTGAAGAATATAAAATATGATTTCAAAAAGAGGAAGGAAAATGAAATACTTCACAGTGATGTACTGACGCCTACCAGAACAAGGCTGCTGGAACCTAAAATCATCTCACACACATGTTCACGCTCGTATTTTTGCACACTACCCATTTAACTGCAGCTCACACACACACACACACTCCTCACTGTGGTTTACCAAGCAGGCTCGATAAGAAGTTGGACCCGTGGCGCTCGCCCCGTCTGGAACCCCCTCCTCCATCAGCAGCGGGATCCATCTGGTTCAGTTCAGACTGATCCAGCATTTCAAAGTCCTCTACGTCCCAGTCCGTGTCAAACTCAGAGCTGGACTGTTTGCGGTAGCTTCGGTGACCCCCGCTTTTGGGGTGGCTCGGTCTGCGCTGGGTGGCAGGAGGCCGAGGTTGCATCGCCCCCGCCAGCGCCGCCTGAATCATGTTGCTGGCAATGACTCCGGCCAGTTCTCCAGAGAGCGAAGCAGGTGGAAGGCTGCTGAGAGAGCCGAGAGACAGTTCTGGATCCAGATCGTCCTGATCAGAGTCCAGATGAGCATCTACATCCAGCACTGAAGCCCGGTGGCTAGCAAGCCCTGATGGGCCTAGACTAGGCAGCCCGATGCTCGTGTCGTCGTCATCATCCATCAGAGTGGCATCAGGGTTGATGGACGGGAAGTCTGGGAGGTCTTGGGCAAAAGATTCCTCAGCATCGCTGTGTCTGTCAAGATCTGATAAAAAAAACACAAACAGAAAAAAGATGAGAGCAAAGCAGAAAACAAAGAGAAGACATGAAACTTGAAAATATGACCATTTACCTTCAGAGCCCTCTGTGAGCGGTGTCTGACCACGTGAGAGGTTAAATGTTCCGTTGTCAGTGTAGGAAACCTCAGCGTCAGAGTGCTCAGAGTCTGTCAAAGCAAGTTCCTTTGCAACAACAGCATCGTCGAACTGGTGGACACAATTCAAAGAAATGATGATGATGAATCTTTAAACTGTGCCGTTTTCGTTTGGTTTAGTCTGATACAGTAAAAATCTTTAAACATCTTCCCTTTCATTCTGTCATGAAGACAAATATTTTCTCTTGGACACTTTCTCTACGTGCTCTCCAACGCTCAGCGTACAGTGATGCTACGTTCCTAACCCGAACAGGAAGTGTGTGTGTTACTGTACGAAAGGACGAAGCAACAGGTGTGGAGGAAACAGTTCTAACTGATCAACGTTGTGCGTTTAAACCCAAACAGTTTTAAAGTGTCAGACCTGCTTGCCCTGTCTGTTCTCACACAACTCAAGTTGAACTCAAATATTGAGACACTTTGGAACGTGAACAGACTTACTGTTGGGCAGAAAGCAGCCAGCTCCTCCTCACTGTCGCTGGCTTCACCCGAGGCCGAGCCCCGGACCGGCATTCGCAGGACTGCAAGATGCAAGAGCGCACGCACAACTAATGATTTCTGCTGTTAATTTGTATAATATTGTTGCATTAAAACGAACTTTAAGAACAACACTAAACTGAAAACTAATACAAATTTAGATTACAACAAAAGTTAAATTAATCTGTGATTCACAAAATGAGCAAGAAAACGTGTTTAAAACAAACAAACGTGGTTTCTTGCCACAGAGAGCAAATTATTAATTATGAAAAGATAAGCTGGTCTCCTTTTAGCAGCAAAATACTGAGTCAATATTAAATCACTGAGAAATGACATTAGAGCACTTAAATGTTAATTATTTGATAGGTACCCTTGTGATAATTTGATTTTCTATAACTCACACTGATTATCGATAGGTTTTGACATCATGTATCCACGAACGCTGAAGTCCAGCCGCTGCAGGACCGGCTCCAGCTTCCCACACACATTCTGAAAAACCCTGTGATGGGCGGCCAGCGGGGCCAGAAGAGTGGCCAACACTAGGGCGAGAAAGAAGAGGACACCAGGACGTGCAAAAACAAGTTCAAATTCAAAGTCTCTATTTGTCACAAGCACCACATGTGGTGGGACAAAACTGTCCACAGGGTCCCAGTTACATCCAACAAAGTATAAAATGTAAAAGAAAAACTGTAATAAGATCTAAGATACGAACTAAGAACAATGTTAAACTAGACTAGACAAAAACTAGGCCAAACAGCACGAACTTTGTCCGAAAAGTTGCATTTGTTTGTGCAACATTTAGATTTCCTCTGCTCTCTGCACACACAAACCAACAAGCCCTTTAAGGCTGGGATTGGTCTTCCCTGCTGAGCTCTGCAGCCTACACTGGTGGAAGGTCAGGAGATTAGCCCACTCTTTGCCTGACCTCCTTTAGCTTTCTGCCTGGCTCCCAGCCCTCCTTCACGCTCCTCCTGTGTCTCCTCCCTGCTTTAAACACCTCACAGAGCCCGCTCTGGTACTACAGAGCTCCACGGGTCTGGTGTCATCAGCCATGCATTTTTTAACAGTCTAGTCAGGCTGCGTTTCCCTGCCAGTACGGCCTCACGAAAGGGTGTGGATCTTTAATTAGAACGGGTGAAACTGCTGGGACTCACAAGAAGAATAGGAGAGCACCAGTCCAGGAATGTAGTTTCCAATCAAAGCCAAGCAGGAGAAGATGCCACAGGTCAGGATGCAGAACTGTCACAGAACAACAGGACGCACGTGGTTATAGGTCAGAGCCAACGCTGACAAGAGAGCACGTAACCACAACCAATTACAGAATAAATATATATACTAAAAGGATAGTTTTCTGTAAGTATTCCGTAACGTATTTTATAGTAAAGTATTTGGTCCTCACATTGCCAGGGTTCTGACGTTTGAATTCCATCATTCTAGATTTGAGAACCGAGGCACTGACCCAGGCCTCTGCGAGGTGGTGGCACAGTTCGGGCACGCTGAGGACACCGGGCTGCACCAGACCCCAGCTGGATCAACACACAAAATGTTCAACTAACCTGTTGCGTTACAGAAGGTCTGGTTAGAATCAGGGCTAATCACAGCCAGCAGTTACAAACCTCTCACTTTCTGATTCATCCAGCTTTCTGACTGTGGAGAGAGGACATCAATTACTATTTAGAAACTGTTTACAACAACTAGAACTAAAGGGTCAGGTTTGATTTTTATTATCTCACAATGAGAACATACAAAGTTAATTAATCACTTTCAAAGTACAGAGTAGGACTGCTGATTGGTGACAAATCTACTCTGGAAATTAAAACATGCAAAAGATATACTGAAGATGAAGAGTGCCCATTGAAATAAAGTGTAGAACCTCTTATCTCTGGCCAGATCTTGTTCCTCCACGCATCAACAAATACCAGCCCAGCGAGGCCAGAAGGCAGCAGAAACAGCAGCCGCAGCGACGTCAGAGCAAAGAACCTGGAAACAAAGTCAAATGGAAAACAGAAACTTCATCTCCTGCTCGTTTTTACCCCAGAAATAAACAAAAACTGTGAACACGTTTGTGCAGAATTCACTGAACCACAAAACCAATGAGAGGTGGCCTACGGCTTCATTAGAAAAAAGTCTAATTTACAAAAGTATTACATCTTCTCCTGGTGAAATGACTGTTAAAGGAATAGATAGGTGACAATGCAGGTAAGTACTAGTTAATAATCTAAACCAGTATGTGAGGAAAAGCCACAACAGTCTCAGTCTTCCACTGCCGCTCCATTTAAGGGCTCACAAGATTTGAACAGTTGTTGCTGCAAAATTCTGCCAATGTGGAGATTAACCTAACCCAGAATTTGCAGGGAAGTCGAAGGGTACTGGTATTTAGGTTAGTGGTGACGCTCTGCTACGATGCAAACAAAATGTGCACATTCCCCTGTGAAGCCCCGTTTTCTACAATGAGAGGTAAAAACACAACAGAGCTTTAAGTGTTTTTAAGGCACATACTATATCACAAGTTAAATAAAAACGAGCTAAACAAAAACACATAATTGTGACGTGTAATCTGTGCACGGGATAATCCATGACTTTGCACTAGGTTTCTGGAATTAAGCGAGGAGTTAAATTACAATTAAAGGTACAGAAAACAACAATAAAAAAGCTCGTCCTGAACCTGATTTGCTGCCGGAGGTTGAAAGAAATGACTCTCAATAGCTTTCCAGATAAATTGAACGCAATTCTGAAATGTGGGTTTGCCGTCGCTGTAAACAAAACTGAATCCAAAATAAACCAAGTGCAAGTTTGAGTCATGTGACTGATCTGCATCACGGTGGTCATAGTTTACGTAGGTAAACAAATATGGCAAATAGAACCAATATAGAAGTATATAGAAATATAAGCGTGAATCTGCAGCTAACACAAAAAAGAAAACGAACGTCTCCGACACCTGTCAGGAATAAATGTTGGAGATGAGCACGGCTGTAGAAAGTCACAAAGACAGCCGTGCTGTTTGTGCTAAACTTGTTTTTGAACCATAAGTTTACTGTATCAACCCAACATATTTTAAACTGCATACTTTGCTCCACAAACATGAGCATAAATACAGAACACATGAATGCTACAACACAGCAACACTTTCCCACGGATACCACAACTGTTGTGTCCACAGGTAAACAGAGATGAAGCCACAAAGTTTGAAGTTTTGGATACAAGGACTATACATGTGTGGGGAAAATGGTGAGGCTTTTTAAAGCATTGTTTAACCTCCTATCTTTACAACGTAGCGATGTTTAAGAGCATAAGAGCATTGATCAACCTGCCATCAGTGATTCCTTGAATTTTCAGGTGAAACACTTGGATTGTGTAAAAGCACCAGTTGAATCATGAATATTCTGGAAATATTCACAAGAATAACCAGTGCAAACCCACCAGAACACGACGTTGACAACAATGTAGAGGAGGACAGTATGGAGGGGTCTCTCCCACACCAGGACGGACTGCAGGTAGGTCAGAACCGGCTCGTACGGGCCCAACTCGGACAGAAGAGCAGCTCGGACAGCCCGAACCCGACCGTCCCTTTCTCCACAGAGCCCGGACTCCTGCTTGGCACACCTATCCTCCATGAATCCCGCTTCTGTCGCTCCACTGTGGGCCATCTTAGCTTCTCCTGTCGACGAAGTGAACCTGTAAAATAAAGATACAGGTGATAATAAGAAGGGGGCACCACAGCGGTCACAACACCGCCTCTGCTAACGGACAGACAGGCAGCGAAAATACTGCACCATTGTCTACGATCATATATTTGACCGGTTTTAAAACAATCATGTTACCGAACGCATTACTACGGATATTCTAGAAGCAGCTGACGCTTACTATATAGTCATTTTTTCACTAAAAATGTCGGTCTCTCGTCAACATGGCGTATCCTGTTTTTCCGACGACTAAACGGACCAATCAGAATCCTCAAAAACCACTGCGTCATGGTGCATTCAAGTACATTAAAAAAATTGGCATTCAAACAAACACGTGAACACATTCACTTTAATGTACCTCTTTAATCAAAGAAAAATTAGATGTTCTGATCTATAGCACTGATTACAAACTGGTTTAACATAAAATAAGGTTTAAAAATAAATCTGTTTTCTCTACAAAACTTTGAACACATTTTACTGAACGGTCCGTGTACCTTTCGTTCAAGTACACAGACCCTGTCGTGTTAACCTTTTTTTTTTATCTGAATGTCGAAGACAAAAGTTTAACTTTTAAAAGTGTGTACACAGCTGGTTGTGGTTTCTATTTATCCACTGAATAGAAAGTGTTTGCTTGGCGTTAATTTTCCAAAACAGTAGGTGGCAGCACATCAAGCAAGGCGGCGTCTGCTCCACTAGTGGCTCTGCTCCATTTGAACGTCAACGTACTTAGTGGTGATGCTCTTCTGCCTCTTAACGTCACTTCTGTCCGATTCATACGCCGGCAATTCAAAACGGAGTGAACCCAATATCAAGCGGGAAGGAGCGGGCTGGAGGAGGTTCAGTAGACGAAGAAGAATTGTAGCTCTTGTTATTGAATATTTAGCTAGGTTGTCGGCTAGCTAAATTAGGAGCTAAGAGAGAACATGCCACGGGAAATAATAACGCTTCAACTCGGACAGTGTGGAAATCAAGGTACGTTGTTAACCCACCGCTAACGATTTAAAAGCAGAAAGCTACTATTGTTGTTGTATCCTTGCTAATTAGGCTAACGGATCCCCCCATATTTGAAGAATGCGTAGTTAGTGTCAGTTTGTTAACTGTAATTATGAAAAGTTGATCTAACGTTTTATCCACACATTTCTTGTTTTTGTTTTGCAGTCGGTTTCGAGTTTTGGAAGCAGCTGTGTGCAGAACATGGCATCAGTCCGGAAGGAATCGTGGAGGAGTTTGCAACAGAAGGGACGGACAGAAAGGATGTGTTCTTCTATCAGGTAGCAGGAGCATACATTTACATTTAATATGGAAGATTTAGCTGTTGGCATATCCTTACAAAAAGCAAAGTTCGATCTTGCTGGCTAAATGGACCATGTATAATAATTTCAAGATCTACAGGCATTTCTTCAACTAATGCACATGAAAAAGATCTAACCTGCTGGTTGTGCTAAATGGCTAGACTGCTCCATGAGCCGTTTCGCAGGTACCGCCATTTTTGTTTAGCGCAAGGCATTGTGGTCCTGCACCAGGTGTGCGAATGAGTGTAAAAACTGTCAATTAGCTCAATCACCCAGGTATATAAATCACAACAAAAGTTAAATTGTGTCATCTGGACAGGTTCTTTGTGGAAGAAACGTTTCGTCTTTCATCCGAAAGACTTGATCAGTCTGAGGCCTGCCAACAAGATCTGTCGGATGAAAGAGGAAACGTTTCTTCCAAGAAGGACCGTGCGTATGTGCAACAATCATAATCACAGATTTAAGAACAAGTGGCAATATATGGAATAATGAAAACTTTAGATTGTCACACAGAGGTCTAGTATTACCATAGTATTACTGACTAGTATTATAGTATAGGTCTAGTATTATAGTATAATACCTCTCTTGTGGAACCAACTTCCAGTTTCTGCCCGTGAGGCTGACACATTGTCCAGTTTGAAGACTGGGATTAAGACTTTCCTTTTTGATAAATCCTATAGTTAGGTTGTGCTTGTTATGCTTGCTTAAGCTTAGAATACTGCAGGACAAATTTGTCTGTTGTTGGTTGCCTGTTGTCATCACTCTTTGTTAAAACCAGGTCTCTCTTGTAAATGAGTCCTTGAGGCTCAATGGGATTAACCTGTATAAATAAAGGTTGAATGAATGAAAAAAAAAAGACCTCATTTCCAAAATGAATTGTTAAAATTGAACAGTTTTCATTTGATACTATTTCTATCTTAACATGTGATTCTTGACCTGCCATTGTGTATCTATTCCTACCAAACCCAGCCGGTCGAAGCAGATGGTCCTCTTGTCCTGATCCTGGTTCTGCTAAAGGTTTCTTCCTCATGAGGGAGTTTTTCTTTCCACTGTCGCCTTCATGCTTGTTCAAGATGAGAGTTCAGTGATGGAGTTAAACTCAAAGCTGCTCCTCAGATAAATAATGTCCAATTATTATTTTATACATGAATGTTTCTGTTAAATTATTATTTTATAGATGAATGTTTCTGTTCAATTATTATTTTATACATGAATGTTTCTGTTCAATTATTATTTTATACATGAATGTTTCTGTTCAATTATTATTTTATACATGAATGTTTCTGTTAAATTATTATTTTATACATGAATGTTTCTGTTCAGTCCCTGAGACGACTTCTGTTGTCACTTGGAGCTTTAGAAATAAACTGAACTGAATCATTTAATCGATATATTGATGTATTGTTACAGCCCTAAGGGAGGCTGCCTCAAGACTATAGCTAATCATTTTAGGCTTCAATCCTAACATACAAGTTGCATAACAACTCTTCACAAGGATGTCCTTTCTCAGATTAGAAATGGGTACAGCACAAACCAACAAAGCTCTTTAAGCTGTGTAATAGTTCAATTATCAAAATTTGATAACCTGTCCATCATTAACTTCACTGTTGGTTGCCCCCCAACAATCACACGAAACATTTTGTGTTGTATTCGGTAGGCGGCGCTAAACAGATAAATAGTGTAAATTATTATTTTTATGAATGTTTTGTTAACTTGTTATTTTTATATATGAATGTTTCTGTTCAGTGCCCTGAGAGGACTTCTGTTGGGACTTGGTGCTTTAGAAATAAACTGAATTGAATTAAACAAAGATGGTGGTATCTGCTAAACAGCTCATTTGATCTGTTCTGGTCTCATCACAAGATATAAAATGAACAATAAATGTTTCTTAAAACTGTTATAGTATAAAGTAAATACTTTTTCAACTTGGTTTTTAAATCTATATAAATGATCTGGTTCCCAATGGATCACAAGTGTCTAAAAACAACCTCAGTCACACGAGAACACAATAACTCTGTGTTTAATATTAGGTGGAAAAATCTAAGACAAAATTCAAAGTTGCTGTTTTGTTTTTGCTTGTTGCTCACACATCTCATGTTGGAGATACTGCTATAAGAGCAGAGGAATCCATGATGTCCAAGTGAAGAAATGGGGTCAGTGTGGTGCAAAAAGCATCACCACCAGATGGCATCTTTGTAACGTGAACTGGAACAATTCAGCAGACCCTTTATTCTGCCCATTACCATTAATTTCTGATTGTTAATCAAACTCCACAGGCTGATGATGAGCACTACATCCCTCGTGCGGTTCTTCTGGATCTTGAACCGCGTGTGATTCACTCCATCCTGAACTCGCCTTATGCAAACCTGTACAACCCAGAGAACATCTACTTGTCTGAGCATGGTGGAGGTGCTGGGAACAACTGGGCCAGTGGATATTCTCAGGTTATTTCCAGAAAAAACACAATCTCAACTTCATATCATCGGTCACAGCTAAAAATAAAACTTGGTTTTATTTCTATTTCAACCCTAGGGCAAAAAAATTCAGGAGGACATTTTTGACATCATTGATCGAGAGGCAGATGGTAGTGACAGTCTGGAGGTAAGTTTGTCATATTTCACATTTAAACTTCCTTTTGGTGTTGGAGTTACTCAACTTGTGAACGTTCTCTTCTAATATTGTTTAATCCTTTTTGGTTAATCTAAATATTTCTTGTTTTTATGGGATGGTTCTGCCTCTTCTAGTGGTATCGTTGGCATTTAGTTATTTTCATTTGTAGTAATCTTTGAGTTACAGCGTCTTTGTGATTCTTGAGTCTGTTGGTGACGTTTTCTTTGTAGGTTCTACACATTCAAACTAAATTCCTACCGGTCTTAAAAAGTGTGGAAAAAGTATGGCACTAAGAAAAAATACAACTTGAAAAAGATTTGTTCCCAAATTCCTTTTTTTTTTGTTGCATTTTCTCAACGCTTCATGTTTTCTAAAGATTGTCAAAGTAGCAGAGTATTTATTTATTTATTTACATTAATTGTACTGGTATATACTCTGAACCCCAACTTGCTTCAAAAAGAGCATCTTGCACTCAGTTTTACACGAACTCAGTTGTGTTTTTGGCAAAATAACTGTACGGTATATTATATGTTACATATACAGTATGCAACTTTTCAGCCCAGCCTTAAAACATACAAAAAGTTATCTTTTACTGTAATTAGGGAATAGGCCTGTCGCAATAAACAATAAATCAGTTAATCGCATGATAAATGAAAATCATCGACCTCATTTTCATTTATCAGCTTTATTGTTTCTTCGTGTCTCTCTCTTTCTACTGAAGACCCTGGATGATAAAAGCATCAACTCCGGTGTTCGTCACTGACCCCTCCCTTTCTCTTTTCTCTTTAAAATCTGTTTTAATTGTCCAAAGTCGCATTTTTGGATCGTTAAGAGCAGCTAAGCTGAGAAGCTAAGCTAACAGGCCGACCTCGGGGAAATAACCTCCGTCTTATCGAAGCTCCAAAATTCACGGTTGAAACTCGTGTCTTGGTCTAAAAAGTTGTTTTTCTCTGAAAAAAGAAGCTGAGAACTTGTTTACTGATTTTTTAATAAAAGCTTTGTGTGATAAATGCTGAAGAGCTCAAACCACACCGAGCGTCTGCTATTTTGAGAATCGAAAAACAGGAAGGAGAGACAACCCATGTCATGTCAAGGGGCCTCCCTCCCATTCTTCTTAGAGACACGCTGCTCGCTCCCTCACTATCCATGCTTTGGTTCAAACTGTCTTATACTGCTATCCAGTGGTCAAAAAAGGTACTGCACTCAAATTTAACCAACATTTCTTCTTAAATTTGACAATTGCTAATTATTGTCAAATTTCAAACAACGCTATCGTTTATCGCAATAATTTCTGAGACAATGAATCGCTCAGCAACATTTGTTATCGCGACAGGCCTAGTTGGGACGTCCGTTTCTCCAAATGAGCTTTGTTTTAATGGAACACACTACCACTGATAATATGACCATAAAGTAATTAGGAAAAACTTGAAAGCTTAAACAAGTACTCTGCTGTCCTGTTGTGTGTAAATTTGCAGCAACTGATAATAAAACCACCGCTGTGCAAACATTCAAGCAAACTTACAGATAGTTCAACGTCAAAATGACTGAAAAATACAGTTTGGAAATGGAAATGATGTGGGAAGCTCAGTCATCTGCTGATCGTCTCAGTAGTGTCGTGGTTTGTCTGATTCTACTCAGACATGACTTGGTTTATTTAAGCACGCTAACTGTTGCATGTTTGTTGTGGTGATAAGCACGCAGAACTGAATCGCTTAATGGAAACAACATGTTCAAACTGTGCCAGAGCCTCTCATCTTAAAACCAGCAGACTCCCAGCAAAACCAGCAGACTCCCAGCCTTGCCTCTATTATTCTTAGCTTCTTTCTGAACTCAAATCGGCTTCAAGCCTCTCGTAAAATAACACTCGCGTTTCCCCTTAGAGGTCTGCAATTTCTGTGACTCCTTCACATTATGATCCCACATTATTATTTAGCGTGCACGTTCATGTGCGCATGGGATAGAAAGGTGGGCTGAGCTGCCGTTAGCATGTGTATGTTGGCAGGGTGTGGCGTGTAGAGTGTCTGGTGATAATAGTCGGGCGAGTGTTGAAGGCAGGTATTACAGAGCTGCGTTGAGGCAGGGGGGCAGTGAGAGAGCCCGTTTGTGAGGTGGGGCAGCGCTACCATTTATATAACTGCCTAGGAAGCAAGACATTTACTCACCCACACACTTTTCTGCTGCGCTCCAGTGGAGTTTGCTGTGAGCGTCACACACATGTGGCCCATGCCGAGTTATAAGCAACCCTTGTGTCTTCATAGGGATTCGTCTTGTGTCATTCAATCGCCGGGGGGACCGGCTCAGGACTAGGATCGTACCTGCTGGAGAAACTTAATGACAGGTCCACAAACAAACTTTTAGCTTGCTCACTTAGCTTGTGATCCAGTGTGTGTAAACAAAATGTTTCTCGCTCTACAGGTACCCAAAGAAACTGGTACAGACTTACTCTGTGTTCCCGAACCAGGATGAGATGAGCGACGTAGTTGTTCAGCCGTACAACTCGCTGCTCACGCTGAAGAGGCTCACCCAGAACGCAGACTGCGTGGTGAGCAGCACTTCGGAGGGGAATGTTGATTAATACCAGTGCTTTCGAGATAAAAATGTGTGGAAGGAACTCAACTTCACCAAAAATGGTTGTCCGTCATACTTCCAAGAAAAACATCACGACATCAAAGATCAGATCCATGCTAATATATCCATGTAGACACTAAAGATACAAACATAAACACGTCTTTAAGGTCCTATTTTGTAGTTCTCCAAGTATGTATTCTGCCTTTAGAGAAGCACGTATACAGTATGTACCACAGCTGTTTTTTCTTTATAGTTTGCTGGTAGAAAATCAACTTTTCAGGCTTCTCCATTGCTTGTGTGGCAAACTAATAAAGACACAAACTGCAGTGGCAGCACTGAGGCCCAGGAAATCCAACTTATTGAATTTCACTCTTTAATATGTGATTGTATTAGCCAGAGACGCACTGGCAGTCTAATGGTGTTTCCTCTTTAATACCTACTTCCTCCAGGGTCTTGCATAAGGACCTCATGTTGATTGAATTAGCTTGAAAGCTAATTAAATCTGCTCTTAAGAATTGGTCCCCTTGTTGCAACTATAGACACTGCGTCATTTATGTCCAATTCTCCTAACAACAGAACACTGCGACTTCTTAACAGGTTCCTTGACAGCGTAGTTTTATACTGGCAGTGAATTGACTTTTTCTCTGATGATGCCACTCGGTGTGTTTTTCCATCAGGTGGTGCTGGATAACACAGCTCTGAACCGTATCGCCACAGACAGGTTACATATCCAGAACCCCTCGTTCTCGCAGATTAATCAGTTGGTGAGTGATCATAACTAGCTTCTTTCTTGTTTTTGCTGGGAGTTCACAAGTTTTAGAGGTTTAGTTGGCATCATCCCTAACTGTTTCTGAATGAGAAGCAAATGTTCAGACATATGGCACTCAATCAAAAAAAAAAAAAAAAACCTCACAAACTAGTTTAGTGGGTTATTTGAAAATCAGACCGGATTGCAGCTTTCCTAGAAAACATTTGCACATGGCTGCACTTTCCAGGTGGTATTATAACTTGCTTGACTGGTAAGGTTTAAGCTTCTCTGGTAAGAGAGGAGCTAAAATCAAATTGTTACTTAAAACAATCAGAACAAAAGCTAGAATCAGCAACACACATGCTGAAAGTTAAAATCAGCAACACAAAAGCTAACAGCTATTACTGGTAGAAAATAAACCAAAGCTGAGAGTTAAGACCAGCAAAACAGTAGCTAAAAGCTAAAACTGAAGCAATTTTACAGAAGTAGATGTTAAAACGCATGTTTTTCAAGAATTTGAACAGATCTCCATTCGTTTAAATTCAGTTCAGTTTATTTAAATAGCACCAAGTCACAACAGAAGTCGTCTCAGGGCATTGAACAGAAACATTCACACACATTATAAAAGCCACTTAGCAAAGTTCTCCATCTAAAGAAGCAGCAGATTGTGTTGAAGCTTCACTTCGTCACCGTCTCCCATCCTGAGCAAGCACAGAGGAGACAGTGGGAAGGAAAAACTCCCTTTAACAGGAAAAAACCTCCAGCAGAACCAGGATCAGTCCAAAAAAAAATCTAGTTTTCTCTGATTCAGTCCGTTAGAGTTGGCATGTCCTGGATGACCATCAGTAAACTGACGCCTGATTGGAGCCTTTTTAAAATTTGTGTTTGCTTGAATTTTCACACATCTAGGTTTCCACAATCATGTCTGCCAGCACAACCACCCTGCGGTACCCAGGCTATATGAACAACGACCTCATCGGGCTGATTGCTTCACTCATCCCCACCCCTCGCCTCCACTTTCTCATGACTGGGTACACACCGCTCACTACTGACCAGTCGGTGGGTGGTTTCCTTGTGCTAAGTTATATCAGCTGATAAAACCTGCATTTTTAAATGTTTCTACATTTTTAAGATGAAGTCATAACCCGACTATTTCTCAGGTTGCTAGTGTGAGGAAGACTACGGTGCTGGACGTGATGAGGAGGCTTCTGCAGCCCAAGAACGTGATGGTGTCCACGGGAAGAGAAAGGCAGCCCAGCCACTGCTACATCGCCATCCTTAATATCATCCAGGGAGAGGTCGACCCCACACAGGTACAACTCGCTGTTGGACTTCTGGATTCATCAGTTCAAAAGCACAAAATATGGACGTGCTTTTAAACCTGTTCGGACCCTGTAGGTGCATAAAAGCCTTCAAAGGATCCGGGAGCGCAAACTTGCTAACTTCATCCCCTGGGGACCTGCCAGCATCCAGGTGGCTTTATCCAGGAGGTCCCCATACCTGGCCTCAGCTCACAGAGTTAGTGGCCTGATGATGGCCAACCACACAAGCATCTCCTCCGTAAGTTCTCGTTTGTTTACTCTCCCACAGTATCAATTACGCCGAGTTATATACCGTATTTTCCTCCGTACACATCGCACCGCCGTATAAGTCGCATCTATTACGCGTCGCCACCGACAACCTGGAAATGTGGGCCGGTGTTGTGCCAAAAATCAATTGGCTGCCAAATGGCGGGAGCGTGCATGGGAGGACTTTAACAAGAATTTAACAAGATTAACACTTAAAAACAATTGTTTGTTTGTTCCAAATTATAGAAAGGTGTGTCTCAGTCGAACTTTTACTTAATAAATTCACTTCAAACATCAAATCAGATGCATTTTGCCGCCCCGGCGAAACGCATCTGATTTGACGTTTGCTCCAGGCACGATCCTGGAGCTGGACGAAGGTGGCAGGCTATGGCAAGCCGATTGTGTCATTAATAGCCACGTTTACACAACAGCATGCCATACTAATCGAGCGCCACCTAGCGGCTGAAAATGTTAGTGTTCAATATTTTCAATGTCAGAATGAAAACGGTTATTTGTCAACCAAAGATTGGTTTATGAATATGGTAAAACAAATGAGTCACTTCGGTTTATAAGTCGCAGGGCATGTAAATTATGCAAAAAACTGCGACTTATAGGCCGAAAAATACTGTATTTATTTTTGTATCTATTTGAAATTGTTTAAAACTGGAGTTTACAAAGTAAATCCAAACCATCGCGTATAAATCCGACATTTCAGAGTTTTTTCTTGTTTCAAATTTGTTTAAAATGGAAGCTGGGAAACTGAAAGTGGATTAGAAACACAAGAATGCCTCTACAGGTGCGAATCAGTTTCAGGACTTGAATTTAAGGAAATCCAAACCACTTTAGTGTCGTTCTATATTTAGTTTTTACTTCCCCCAAAGCAGAGGTGAAGAAACAAAACAGAAAGAGTTGTGAGTTTTAAGGAAGTCACTAGAACCATTAAAATTTCCTGTTTTAATGTTTGGGTCTCCCTTTCCAGCTGTTTGAGCGGACGTGCCGGCAGTACGACAAACTGCGAAAGCGAGAGGCCTTCCTGGAGCAGTTTCGAAAAGAAGATATATTTAAGGACAACTTTGATGAGCTGGACAACTCCCGTGAAGTTGTCCAGCAGCTGGTGGACGAGTACACCGCAGCAACTCGCCCCGATTACATTTCCTGGGGCACGCAAGAACAGTGAACACACTTTCTAATCTGCTACAGTCCAGTCAGGACTCGTGCTCATTTGTCCCACATTGGCTCTTTACATTTATCCTACAGTTGTTTGGGTAGAACTTCTTTTTTGAAAATTATTTATTGGCTTGTAGCATGTAACGATCGTGTTTGACTCAACGAACGAACAAAGGATGGATGTTGACACCGACTTTCATATTAACTAAAGTCTTTCCCACATGCATATAAATAATCCTTTAAGAATTTATGAAAAACATCAATAACCTGTCTACAAAACAAACAAAAAAAGTTTTACACATGATCATTTCCTTTTGTTGAACTCGGCAGCGAGTTGTTCTGCTTTATTTTTTATACAGAGTACAGTTTGGTTTCGTGAGCTGGATTTACAGAAACTCTCGTACAGAATGTAGGAAGGACACAACACTTAGCTTTATGGTTAATGTAGTTTTCACCAGACCTCGCATTTGTCTCGGTGCATTGCATCATCTGTCTGCTGCTGATGATGTCACTGTTCATGACCAGCAAGAATGTCAAGTTGGTGTTCAGTTCAAACTGCTTTAAAGCATTTGTCCGTTGAGGTGACGGCTGACGAACACTTGGACTGTGTGTAAATACTGTGTACTTTAAAGAATAGTTGGCTCACTGGCATCCTCTGCACTCGTCTCATGTTGCTTCGCTTATTGGACCTGAAAGATTATTAAAGTTGTTTTCTATGATCCGAAGGAAACCTTTTCTTTTAAAAACTTTCACTTTTCATTAAAATGAACCAAAAAACCCAGTTTTCTTTCATGTTCAGCTGGCATTCAAAAGCCCGTTCATCTAATTCCATTATGGTTTATTACCTGCATACATAAAAACTCTGAACAGCTGTTTTTAAAGAATCGCAAACTTTCAGGGACCCAGTGTGCTGGATCTAGACTGCTACCTTTAAGGTTGTCAGATTACAAACATTGAACTGCTTCACAAATCAAAAGCATTTATCTTAAAGAACAATAAAGGCCTGACGTTCCTCATGCGTCGCCTTTCTTCCCAGAGTTGGAGACAAAAGTTCATCCGTTTGGAAAAGGGGCTGAAGTTCTTTTGGTCAAAGTAGTTTTTCATAATCCCATGCTATATATTACAAGTAACCACTCTGAGCATGTTGCGACGGACTCGCAGCTTCTGCACCACATTTTAGCTCAACATCTGTAAAACAGTGATAAGTGTTTGTGTTGGTTATGATTACCTGCGGCAGCCATCTTGAAATGGATCGACTAAACAGTAACCTGTTGATGTGCATCCTGTGATTACTTTCTGAAAGTTTCATTTAAACCAGTCCAGAGGTTGGTGAGATATTTTGCTAACGGGCAAAAAGATGAATTATTTTGACTAGCAGTGAGCCATTAGTAATTATGCTGAACAAAGGCACCAATGACCACAAGGTAAAACAGATATTTTTTATTAATAATTACATAACAGTATAGTTTTTATTGCACTCCCAGGTTAGTTAAAAATAGTGCAATTGAATATATTACATTACATATTACATAAAAAGGTACCATGCAGCGTACAAACAAGCTTCATATTAAGCAAAGACCTCTGCAGTTTTTGTACGTGTAGCTTGGAGCTGCCTGCAGCTGCAGTAGAAAAAGCTGAAGACCTGCTTGTGAGCCAGGGTTATGACTTGTCAAGGCCTTTTACGGTGCACAAACTCATAGTTTTTAGGTTATTTTAAGGGTTGTGTAGTGCCATTTGTACAAACCTACAAAAATAAGTCAAACAACAAACTACTGGATGTTTGATTAAAAACAATCTGTGAGTATACAACAAGTATTCTGTCTGCATTTGTGAGTAAATTCTTCTAAAAGTGTAGTTTTTTTTAAACTCTTTGGTCCATGCTCAAACCCCATGACCTGGTAAAACTTTGGCTTCACAAAAATATTCAGATAGTGAGCAGAAAAAGAGCTACACAGAATTAGCACAAGGTGCTTTAGAGCCAAAACCATGTCTGACCCCGGTCAGTTAAAGCAAACCTAACATTAGAAAAAGCCTACATTTAAGACAAAGTACAATTAAAAAAAGGTGAAGTCTACATAAATACAAAAAGTAGGTTAAAGTTTGCCTCAGTGGCAGAGGGCTGATGGTGCGCTGCATGGGGAATACAAAGTCACTTTAATGCATCTATGTCGTTAAGCTTCGTGGCATTCTTTCTATTATATATACATTATAAAAATAAACAAAGAAGCACCTGTTATCTTGAGCAGAACAAAGTTGCACTGGGATAGTTAAGTGACTCAAGCAAAGTTAGCCAGTCAAGTGTTATCCAAGTTTCATGTCCGGGACTACAGCCAGGACAAGCAGCACGACGAAGGAGAAATCAGAGCATTCGGTGGCAACGTGGTGAAAACAGCTCCAAAGTCCTTTGATTTCTCTGAAACGCATAATTCTGAACAAGACATCGACGAAATGTTGTTTTTGTGACCACATCGAGACACTTCGCCCGTAGGAATGGAGGTCTGTAAAGCAAAGGCAGCCAAAGTGACTTCAGTAAAACAGCTCAACGTCAGCGTCTGCGTAGCTCGATGCATCAACAGTTCCAGGTAACGCAGCCCATCCGGGGCCTTGCGTAAATGGACTCCGATGAACACGTCAGCATAGGGGCGTGTGAGAAACATCAGCAAAAACGGGAGGGTTGATGGGTGTACACCGGTAACTCAGTGTTCTCAACACTTTTCCAGCAGTGCGTGAGGGACAGCCGCCTTCTAGGAAAGGCCAATCCAATTTGGCACACCTCAGGAGATCCAGGAGGTTGGAGAGGGTAGTGTTTTCACTTGAAGCTGTAGCTGTTCAATGGCAGCACCAGTTTACGGTTACCAGTCTCAGCTTTTGTCATGTACAACTTGAACACGGTGTCAAAGAGGGAAGTTGGTTTCTGGGTGATTCTGTGCTCACAAAGCAGAGCTCTCCGTCTTACCCTGCCAAACCCCTTTTTTATCATTCTATGGCCGAGTCTTAGTTACGATGAAGCATTAGTTCCACTCAGAAAAAAAAAAAAAACTAGACAAAAGCTGAAGTTCTGAGATTAAAGCGTAAATATCCACAGGAAGAAATTGCAATGTTGGAAGAAGTCACCTTTTCACTGTGCTCCTGAACTCAGCTGTTTTGTTTCTGTGATGCCCTTCTGCATCTCCACAGGCCGAGCAGTGGCGCTGCAACGTTCCTCTGCTCCACTGTCCTAACTGCCTCTAGGTTTAGGTCATGCCTGTTGGGGAAGAGTCCGATCGCCACATAAATTGCCTGAATGCGATGGTTTGCTGTGCGATTTTCATCTCCGGCGGCCATTTTTCATAATACAAACGTTAAACCAGTGAACCTGCGTTCAGTCTCCATGTTACGTCGTGGCCCAGTGAGCCATAAAGTGGGGGCTCGTTCAGGATCTGAAACTGGGACTTCTTGTCCAAGATTCTTGGTTGGAATGCAAGAAGTCCTGGGTTCATAACTGGATCCCTACCGCCTGACAACTTAAAACAGAGTGATGAAAGTTTTAAGTTTTGATAAAAAATATTTAAAGGCCTCAACCCATTGCAGCTGGGTAACTCGCAGCCACTGTAAAGGTCTGTCTCGTGCACGCACAGGCATGGCTTAAACCCACACCTTCACAGGTGCAGCAGCTGGATAGGACAATCAAGTAGAGCAAAGTTGTTGCAGCAGCACTGGTTGGACGGTGAGGAAGCAGAGGAAAGGCAGCTTTATTAGTTATTAGGCTAATATTATTGTACCGATGACTACAAAGTATTTTAGCTGAACCGGTCCGAGATGCAGTTTATTACTCCTGTAGAGGAAGAACTTTCAGAACGCGTTTAAATCCTTCACAATGAGAATCTCAAATTCAGACACCGACTAGTGATCTAGAAAACCTCTCTCAGAACATCTGAGGCTTAAGAAAATAGCAATATTTCTTCAGTAAAACATATTCTGAGACTCTTACGTTGAAGGATTGAAACAAGTTCTGTGAGTAATAAACCACACGGGACTTGTCAAGGTCAAATTTAACACGTTCATTTGTAGCTAACTCAGTGAAAGTACACCCCTAACCAGCAGGTACAACAGGAATAGCCTCATAACTAATAAAACAAATACAATACAGTTTTTTCAGTAATATTTAAATTGTAATCTCAACATTTACACTTTCTTTTGGAAACTTAAAAATATATATTTTTTCTCTTCTGAGTGGCCCTAATGCACCATTGTAGTCTTTCATCTACAAAACTCAGCAAAGGTTTATTTTCATGGATGAGGAGAGAAAACAGCCCTTTCTTTGTTTTGGCGGGCACCATGTTCCCAGTGGAAGAGGCGCAGGGTCCTGAGGACCGACTGAGACGGAGGACAGACTGAGACTGAGGACAGACCGAGACTGAGGAGTGGCGGAGGGGAGGACGTTATCTCGAGTCGAGTCCCTCTCAGACGGGGTGGGAGGGCAGCTCCAGAAGTGTGGGCGCTGGCATCGAGGCCAGGTGACAGAATCCAACCTCCGTGCTTTCTGTGATGGTGATGGCTGGATCTTTTCCTCGCTGGCGATGGATGGCACTGAAATATGCGTTCATGAGCTGCATGATCTCAGTCAGCTGTGATGGGGAGACAGAGAGAGAGCGAGAGGTCAAACTGGTGGCAGTCTCAAGTGTCTGCACCGTCACAGGAGGGTGGAGACGCACGATTAGGCCTATCGCGATAAACAATAAATCAATTAATCGCATTATAAATTAAAATTATTGACCTCATTTTCATTCATCAGCTTTACTGAAGACACTGGACGACAAAAGGCTCAACTCCGGTTCTTCACTGACTCCACTCTTTCTCTTTAAAATCTGTTTTAACGTCCAAAATCACACTTTTGGACGTTAAAAGCAGCTAAGCTGAGAAGCTAAGCTACGAGCTAAGCTAACAGGCCGACCTCGGGGAAAAAACCTCCGTCTTGTCGAAGCTCCAAAATTCACGGTTGAAACTCGTGCCTTCGTCTAAAAAGTTGTTTTTCTCTGCAAAACGAAGCTGAGAACTTGTTTACTGACTTTTATTAAAAGCTTTGTGTGAAAAATGCTAAAGAGCTCAAACCACATCGAGCGTCTGCCATTTTGAGAACAGATGAGAGACAGCCCATGTCATGTCAAGAGGCCTCCCTCCCATTTTTCTTAAAGAGACATGCTGCTTGCTCCCTCACTAGCCATCCTTCGGTTTAAACAGTCTTATATTGCCATCCAGTGGTCGAAAAGTTTACTACATGCAAAACAAATTAAACATTTCCTCTGAAATTTGACAATAATTTCTAATTATTGTCAAATTTCAAACAATATTATCTTTTATTACAATAATTTATGAGACAATTAATCACCCAGCAACATTTGTTATCGTGACAGGTCTACGCACGATAGAACTGTCATTTCTAACCCGGGCCCGAAGGATCATAATAATGTGCTGGATGGTCGGGCCGGGTCGGTGTCCGGCTTTTGATCGAGTCAGTGAACACGCACGGCTGACAATCCAATTATATGGCAACATGGCTTGCCATACAATCACCAGCCGCACGCGGCCATTTGACTGCACGTTGACCTTGAAAGAGGTAAAAAAAAAAAAAGTTCAGCTGAGCTTCAGATGGGACTGCCAGGCAGCGATCCATCAAAGCCCAAATGGAGTTCATCCTCTGCACTCAGCAGACGAGCGCGGCCGACAACCCAAACAGGTGAAATCCCAAAATATCCTCGGAGACATGTCAGAGCGGGGTCCGTGTCTGAATAATGCAGAGTGCAGCAGAAGCAGGGATTTAATGCACTTTGACGGCCATGGAAGGACAAACACCCCCTCAGCTCCGATCTTCTGCCCCTTTACTCAGCCACGCGTCCGTCGACCGTTACCAACTGTATAAGCAGTCAAAGCTTAATCAAAACTGTCGAGAGGGTTTTCGGGTTCTGACCTGTAATTAGTTAATTCGTCGGGTCGGGTAATGATGGCTACGGGCTGGGGCCGAGTCGGGTCGGATTTGTTGGGCCCGAATGCAACTTTACTGCACAATATTCTCCAGAACCTCCACAAACAACTACACAAGTCCAGGCATTAATACTTACCACCACCAAAGGTGAAGGTGGCAGACAATATGCATTCTGTTAAGAATTACTAGGTTTTTAATATTGCAGCTGTTGCAGAAATAAATAAAAAAATACTGCTGAGGATTTAATTCGTCTCACTGAGCCACAACAACAAAAATCCTTCTGCTCAGGCTTCTTCAGGGTAAAACAGTCACCTGCTTTTAATCTTTAACAATATTCCCATCCAGCAGCTAATATTGTTTCATCGACTCAACTTCAACTCCGAGGCTAACGATAATCAAATCTGCTTTCTTTTCCCGTTCCCAGAAGCTTAGAATCGTTCCCATTAATGTCGGAGCTAAAGTTCATAAAAGTCTTTCTGAGTTAACTCCAGTTTGCCTGCGAGTCCAGTAAATAAATAAAAGCCACTTCTGTGCCTTATGAGAGATCACAGAGGGATTTTTTGTTCCGTGTGGGAAGATGCAAGGAACTCGGTGCAGTGAAAGGCAAGATTTGTTCTCAAGAGGTTCAGGGGGGGGGGGGGGGGGGCTGTTTGGAAGAACATCCATGTTTCTGAGAAATGTTTAGCCTAATATTTTAATTTAACCACAGCAATAAAACTCACCCGCACACCATTTAATACCAGGAAGTTAAACTTGTGCTGGTTAGCACTGGTTGGAGAGACGGTGCAGGTTGTGTGCCGTCTGCACACCAAATTAATGAGTGTTTTTAAGGTTGCTCAGAGAACTGGAAGGAAGGGGGTGGTGATCGTGAGCAGACGGTGTTTGGCTTCTACGCAGCAGAACACAGCTGGATAATGTGACCTCTTGGCCCTGTTCTGGCTACGGTGAAAGGTCATTTCTGAGCTCAAGGAAGAAAAAAACTTCTACGTATTTTTGTTTTTTGTAAAACCAGCAAGTGAGTCGTTTTTACCTTGGTGGTTTCAAATATCAGATCCCGATCCCCAGCCGTGATCCTGAAGGTGTTGCTGTCGGACACGCCGTACGAGCAGATCTGACCATAAGGGAACGACTCCAGCGCCTCGGATTCTCCCTGCTTGTACAGAGACACGGACGTAGCAGCCACGCCCAACCACAGCTTCTGTGAAAAGTTCCCTGTTGAGCTCTGCAGGCAAAAAGAGGCGTCAAATGCTAGAGAAGGCCAAGAGACCAATACTAAAGCATGAGAACACAAAACTCACAATGTAAAAGTCCACTTCGTAAAGAGTGCATCCAAAGCCCGACCACTGGCGTACAATTGTGAGGTAGGCAGCCATACTGTCCATGCGGCTATAACCAGCTAGATCTCTCCACCGCTCCAAGATGGATGCCATGACAGCTGCCGATTCCTCCTTCAGCCGACTTCGTAGTCGCTTGTCGTGCTCCACCTTCTGTTTGTGTACTGCTGCAGCCGTGTGACTCCACAGGGTCCCAGACAGGAGGCCGGTGGGGAAGCGCTGCGTCGCGGGACAGCCCTGAGCCGCCACCTGACAAGGTGGCACGGCCTGCGGGGCCGGAAGAGACAAAAGAACTCGGGTTTCAAGCATGTGACCAGGGAACAGCTCGTCCAGAGGTGGACAGGGTGACAGAGTGCTGAAGTCGCCCATCAGTGCCTGAAGCCTCAGGGCAGCTAGAGCCTGCAGGTCCTCCTCGCAGGCCGGCAGCTGACCACGCACCACCATCTCATGGCACTGCGGCAGAATGTCAAAAAGATGAAAAATTAAGAAGGTAATGTTTGTCATAATAACCTCAGGCCTGCTATCAATCATTTCTGCTCCACCCTGTTTTATTCCGTCTCATAAATCTTTTATGAGTCTTCAGGAAAAGTGTTTTTAATGAAGCCAGTCCTGGCTGCCTTTTGGCCCTGCTGCGCTGCAGCCAACATCTGAGTCAAACTTTTATTTTAACGGTGCATTCTATTGCAGTTACAGCATGCTAGATTACTGACTGCGATGGTAGAACTCACGAAGCCTTCCAGTGAAACAGATTCACATTATCAACACTTCCATCAGTCATTTAGATGAGATTATAACGACAGAGACCAAGGTCCACTGAAGATCTGGATTACATGTTACCTGCTCAAAGAGGAATAAATACTCGATGCTGTCCACTGAGATGCCGTCAGCGTCCAACAGGCAGTAGAGCTTGAAACACAGTTTCCACTGGGATTTAGACTCCGACTCTTTGGTGGTGAAGCTGCAAAAGGGAATGAGGGCAGTTAAGATGTTGTCTCCACAATCAGGAGTATTGTTGTTTAGTAATCTAACAGCTAATGTTCATTTTATTATGCAATATTTTGATGACGCAGAAAGACAAAGGTTCCTTAAAGAAACACGTATCGCTCGTTGTCTTTAATGCCAGATATCCTAACTAAGATTTTGTTGAAACTTTATGGAGTTGCAGCAGTTTTGGTCAAACTTCGAAAACAACATTATTCAGTTTTATGATCAAATAGGTGATGAGGATTACAGTAGTCCCTCGTTTATCACGGGGGATCCGTACCCTGAAGCCCTGCGTTAAGTGAAAAACTGCGGAGTAGGGACAGTAGTTTACTTACTTCCCACTCTTGCAATATTCTAAACAATGTTTCTAAACTAAACGCTCTAAAAGAAACAGAATGTCATGATTTCTGCTCCCTGCTTCAGCTGCACTCAGCCACCTGCAAGCGCACTTGGCCACGCCCACTTCTCTGCTCTGCATGAAGAACAGCTGATCAGCTGCAGGAGGAAGCTTATCCTGCAGTGTGGGCTGCACAGAGGTGCAGCAGGTGCTGAATCATTTAAAATAATTCATTTTAAATAAAAACGTCATGCCAAATGTGCAGCTCATCCATCAATCAGCCAGTTGTGTGTCATGTCCACTCTTATTTTGAAAAACCATGATAAAGCGAGTCTGCGAACAACGAATCGCGAAGTAGCGAGGGACTACTGTACTCTCAGCTACAACTACATGAAAATTTAACACAATATCTGTATAACTGACTGAGTTATATTCATGTATGTATTGGCTAGTGTTGATTAGCTGAGGCAGCCATCTTGAACTGGATCAACTCCAAAAGTTAATCAGTTGTAATTATATATCCAATGAAAATATCCTGAAAGTTTCATTAAAATACATCCAGTGATTCATGAGATATTTGGCTAACAGACACGTAGGATTGACGCCCAAAAGTTGATGCTAAAGGTTTAAGCGAAACTCTTGGGCAATAAGCAGCATGATTTCTGTGAACTCAACCAAGTTAAGAGTTATTTTGGAGTTTTTTTAATTAATAAAAGTCAAATAAATATGCGTGCTGTCACAGCGTGGAGGCTTCACACCGTCCGCTCTTTCATAGAAACAATTGTTGTTTTTAAGGACCTGGTGAGGATGTCTGCGATCAGAGCGCTCCCTGGGACCGGCTGCTCCCACAGTACATTCTGTTCATACAGTGCAAACGTGTTTCTGCTGTCCCGAAGGCCCAGCTTCTCCTGCATCCTTCGGACCACCTGATGAGGGGAAGTAAAAAAACATTTAGACTTCACGAGGCAAAACAAGAGCGCCACATATTCTGTTATCACAGTAGTCCCTCAATACTTCGCGGTTCGACTTTCGCAAATTCACTATTTCATGAGTTTTCAACGTAAGATTGTGCACATTGTTTCCCGGTGGCCTGGCCACTCAGTGATTGCCGAGGGGCCCCCTCCTTTCTCTTTCCAAGTCTTACCTCAGAAAGAGAAAGGAGGGGCCCGGGGTGGGGTCCGTCTTTCCCTGTCGCTGCTGTGGGAGCTTCAGCGAGGCGGATACCAGAGTGAGCAGTATGGATTGTTTATTAAAAATAATCAAGCACGACCTGAACCGAGCCTTAACCCGAACCCGAAATGACCCGGTGGCCAGTCCGCCCCCGGGCACTAATTGGCTCAGTAACCGTAGCATCCGTCTGTCTGCTCTCTTTTGCTGTTCACTTTTACAGCATTTAGAGAGTTTACAACATTGTTGAGAACATTGCAAGAGTGTGGGAAGTGTTTTTAAAGCCTTAATATATAAATAAATACTAAAATCCATCCCTACTTCATGGATTTTTATCTATATCGCAAGTGTGTCTGGAAAGAAACCCCAACGATAACTGAGGGACTACTGTATTGTCAGGGGATTTTTAAATGTCACTTAAGACTAGAAGATGTACCGTATTTTCCGCCATACACGTCACATCGTCCTATAAGTTGCATCAGTCCAAATATGTCTAATAAAGTGGGAAAAATAAATAAATATGTCACTTTGCCGTATGCGTTGCATCTATTATGCGTCACCGATGACGCGTCGCGTTTGTTACACGTCACCGCTGACAACCCGGAAACGTGGGCTGAACCCGAAAACGTGGGCCGGTGTTGTGGCAAAAATCAATTGACTGCCAAATGGCGGACGCGGGAGTGTGCACGGAAGGACTTTAACAAAAATTTTACAAGATTAACACTTAAAAACAATTATTTGTTTGCTCGAAATTGTAGCAAAGGTGTGTCTCAGTTGAACTTTTACTTAATAAATGCACTTTGACAGTCCAATCAGCTGCGTTTCTCCGGGGCAGTGCAGCGAAATGAAGCTGATTTGAGCGTTGCTCCAGGCACAAAGGTGGCAGTCTATGACAAGCAAATTATGTAATTAATAGCCACTTTTACCTATTACATGACACAATGGCATGCCATACTACCCAAGTGCCATCTAGCGGCTGAAAATGGTAGTGTTCAATATTTTCAATGTCAGAATGAATGACAACTGTCATCTCCGCCAAAACTTGGTTTATAAATATGGAAAACATCCATAAATAAGTTGCTTCAGTGTATAAGTCGCAGGGCATGTGAATTATACAAAAAATGTGACTTTTAGGTAAAAAAAAAAAAAAAAAACCCCGATAGTTTAAAACAAGAGCACGTGGGAGAATGTGAAAAGCTTGAGAAAATTAAAGCTTTAAGGAGAATAGAGATAAATGCTCCCAAACCTCATTGGCAGTGGTGTGTGAGTTGATGTAGAGCTGGCAGGATCCGGAGCCTGGGTAGTGAACCCTGCACAGCATCTCTTGTCGATTCATCAGCATCTGGATCTCCTCCCAGGACGGCACACGCTCCCGACATTTTGTCTTCTCCAAAGCCTCGCTGATGAACGATGCGTAGTTATCCATTTCAGACTCGGGACTTTGGCTCTGGATTCTGCAGGAAGCAGGGACAGTTTGAGTGTTTCCACCTGTGCAAGTATTAAGTGTGCAAATTTAACAAAAACTTCAAAATGTAAATGAAGAGAATTTGTTCACGCTCGTGATTATTACTGTGACTCATAATCTGCAGAGTGTCTGTGAAGTTACGATTGTGGACTCTTTGTTCGTGTGTGTGCTGGATATGTTAACCATTAGCTGGTCGGGACTTCAAAGAAACAGACGCTCCCGAATCATTTAAAGAAAAGAACAATGTTAAATACATAAATAAAAAGTTTGACTTGTGTATGAAACAGGAAGAGGCGTTTCCGCTCCTGTGAACCAGAGCGACCTGGACAACCAGACATCATCTCGGTGGAGAGTCTAGGAGTGGTGGAAGGTGTGTGTGTGCGCGTGTGTGCACGTGTGTGTGCGTGGCAGACAACACACTCCAACTGGAGCCAGGAGTCTGACTAATCGTAACAGTTAAAGGTGTAAAACACAGAGTGACAGTCTGTGTAAACAACAAAAGACTTTTTTATGAAAATGCTGATGACGGTTGAAAATGACTTCAGAAGCTGAAACTGAAGCTAAAATTGGCAGAAACACCTTAAATTAGGGAAACTGTGCCAAAAAGTGTAAAATTTGCAAGACAATGGCTAAAAGCTAAATGAGCTAGACAAAAGCTAAACACCAAAAAAATAGCACAACTGCAGCTACAAGCTAAAATAGCACAACTTCAGCTAAAAGCTAAAGATATTAAAACAGCAGCTTAAAGCTAAAACTACTAAAATTATGGCTAATAGTAAAATTTTATAAAAAGTGAATATGATCAAGTTCTAAGCAAAATCGTGTGAAAAAAGCTATAAATGCTAAAATAAGCAAAACCATAACTAAAAGCTATAACAAATTAGCAAGATGGTAGCTAAAAGCTAAAATGAAGCCTAAAAAAAGAGCAACTATTCTGAAGTAAATCAAAAAGGGAACAATGTTTTAAAGCAGTTTCATTGTATTTATTGTATTCAGTGTATGTAATGTATCCATGCTGCTGATCCTTGACTCATCTGTGCTGCTGATTATTATCCATGCTGCTGATCTCTTGCCTTTAAACTGCTGTATTCATTCTCACTACAGACTCATGTTCGGGCTGCTGTTTAATACACCGTATTGTTTTACATTATTAATTTTAGCGTATATCTTAGGTCCTTGTATACTGTTTCTTTTTATACTTTATATTTTTGCTATTGTTGGATGTAACTGGGACCTTGAGTACATAATTTTGTTCCACCTCATGTACCACATGTGATGCGAATGACAAAGAGCCATGAACCTTGTATTTCTATTTGAACATATTTGCAAGTAAAGCTAAATAATTCACAAACTATAAAAGTTATGAATACTAAAAGTCAAAGTGCATTATTCCCAGTGGAGCCAAACATTTTGACACTCCCAGTTAAAATGGTACGGAGTATGCAGAAGTAGTTTGATGGCAACAAACAAACGGAGGAAAGTGTAAAGAAGAAAAGAGTGCGACTGCTGACTCGGCACGCTCATTTACTTCAGTGTGCTGCTATCTCTCAAGTAAATGGCCATCGAGTGGGATTTGTCCTGCTGAAACATAATCAGGAATGTTCCACAGAGTCTCTGTGATCCTCTCCTCTCCCTGCTGTTTCCTGCTTTCTTGCCCTCCCTCTCCCTCCTTTCGCTCTGCTTTCTTTCTTCTGGCCCGTTCTCTCTGACAGCAGACATTCCCTGGGGGTTTCTCAGGGCACCGGAGGGGAGTGAAAGGAGGAGTGCTTTTGGACCCGCTGCCAGGCTCCAGTCCTCGCTCTGCCCAGCTGCAGCCTCAGCGCCGATCCTCTGAGAGAGGGAGTGCGTGAGAGCGACAGCAAGACGTATCAAAACACTGAGCCAGCCAGTTCCACAGTGTTATTATGAATTACCATTGCATGCAACTGTTCCATTAGCTAGAGGCCAATTCCCAGTGCAGGAATATAGATAGAAAACCGTAGCGGTTTGATGGCATGGTGTAAGAAAGTCTAGAGCAGGACATCAGCACTGCTAACAACTTAGATTAGTCTGCTTGACAGAGGGGCTAATTCAGACCTGCAAATCCAGCCCACAAACTCTGGATCTGTCTGGGGGAGCATGCTAACAATGTGAAGGCATATCTTGCTACTATATCTAAACTGGTGGTTAGGAAAACTGGCGCCTGCTTTTTGTCCGAAGTCTAGACTCCTCTCGTGCCCTGCAACTTACACACCATTACAGGTTCACCTTCACCTCCCAGCTAAACCTGTTCTCAGCTGCAGACTCCTCCCTGTCACCAACAACTGACTCCAGGTCTGATGGCATGTCGACTCACACCCATGTTAAATCACTACTAAGTTCAAACTAAAATGTTAAGACCACAACATATTATTGACAACTGCAGTTTTGTTTTTACTTCAGCAAAGTGAACACAAGTAGGCATGTCATGGTGTTTTCCATCTGTTCTTCACAAGTTAGGTTTCCTCTAAAGGATGAGTCAGAGACAAAAATACATTTTCCCGTTTTCCCCTTTTTATTTGAAGGCCTGGCATTTTTGTTCATGGAATACATATTACCCACCGCCTACCATGCCACAGTTTTAGACCAAGACCATATGTTGAAAAATAACAGTTGTAGCCATTTTGGTCAAGCCTTGAAAACAACAACACAGTAGTCCCTCGCTACTTCGCTGTTCGTTTATCGCAGACTCACTCTATCGCGGTTTTTCAAAAAAATATTGGACGCGACACACAACTGGCTGATTGATGGATGAGCCGCACGATCGGTATGGATTTTTTATTTAAACTAGTTTAAATTATTTAGCACCTCCTGCACCTTTGTGCAGCCCATACTGCAGGGTAAACTTCCTGCTGCAGCTGATCAGCTGTTCTCCATGCAGAGCGGAGAAGTGGGCGTGGCCAAGAGCGCTTGCAGGTGGCTGAGAGCAGCGGAGGCAGAGCGCTGAAATCAAGACATGCTGTCTCTTTTCTTGGAGCGTTTAGAAACATTGTTTAGAATATTGCAAGCGTGTGGGAAGGGTTTAAAACACCTATATGTATATATATATATATATATATATATATATATATATATATATATACATATATGTGTGTGTGTGTGTATGTATGTATATATACTAAAATAAACTACTACTTACTACTTGTACTACTAATCCTACATCACGGTTTTCCACTTATTGCGGGGCTTCAGGGTACGGATCCTCCGCGATAAACGAGGGACTACTGTACTTGCAATCTCGGTCAACGTTGTATCTCATAAGACCTGTTAGTCCTTGGGAGTGCGTGTCCTAAATGACAGAATTTCAGCGCAGTATCTGTAAAATTCACAGAGTTACAGGCCTTTTGTGTTGATTTAAGTTGATAAGCTGTGGCAGCCATCTTGAATCAGGTCGACTCCAAAAGTTAATCAGTCGTAGAGTTGCACAGATCTACAACTGTACAATTTGTAGAGGTGCATCCAGAATAATCATGAACTAGTTTGCTATCAAAGAGGGTAGACTCCAACAGTAAATGTTAAGGTTTTGAGAGAAGATGTGCATTGTGTTGCCCTCAAACTATGAACTGGGGCTAACTCGCACCTACTACCAAACCAAACTAGTAAACCAGACTAATAGTAATTGTTGTGCTTATATCGCTTTGAGGACTTACAGTCTAAAACAAATTGATGGTCTGAATTCAGAAGTAGCTCTGCTTGAGCTATAATTATCTTGTCATTGGAGATAAATAGATACAGCACAACCGTTTTGTGGGTTCCTCTCACCTTTTGAGGTGGAATCGCAGGTATTTGAGCACATTTGGCCCTGGCAGAAAGGAGCAGCTCATACAGGTGAGAAGCTGCCAGTAACGAAGATGTGCAGCAGTGTACGGGGAAGGTGTGTAGCTGGTCTGCTTCACCAGCTGACAGTAGACCTCGTCGCGTAGGGACCGCAGGTCCAGGCAGGTCTGCAGCACGCCCTGGATGATGGGAACTGGCTCCAGCGCCGACTCCAGCTGCTGCAAGCAGTTAAAGAGCTTCACGGCCTCTTCGCGCACCGAATCGTAGCCTTTCCCATTGTGGTCTGGAAAATCGAGTACAACAGTTACACTTTGATTATGTTAGAATAGAATGTCTTTGTCAAGTCCTAAAAAAATATTTATTACCCATTGCCAAGGGAATAAAATGGACAATTACACTAAACAAAAATATAAATGCAACACTTGTTTTTGCTCTTATTTCTCAGGAGCTGAACTCTAATCTCTAAGACTTTTTCTATGGACATAATGGGTCTTTTTAGGCCAGTATGTCTTTGCCCTTCATTGTTTTCATGTGTCTATCAAATTGCCCCATGAACTAACGTACAAATTTAAATAAGATGATCTTTGTCTATATTTCTGAAACGAATGGCAATGGGGGATATGCTAGATCTGTATTACTTTATTACATTTGAACCATCATTTTAGAGGCTGTGATCATGTATACCAAACAAGTATAAAGTACTTACATGTGTGCTCCAGACTGCCATAAGGGAAAGGCAGCAGAGGAGCATACAGGGGGCTCTGGGTGTACTTGAGGATAGGGTTGTGCTGGTAAATATGTTCCACTACTTCAGGATTAAACTTATTCTCCTGTGAACACAAGTAAAGACACAAACTGTCACGATTACACCAACAAACATGAATTTGTTTCCATCCAGTGTTTCTGAGCTCAGCCTGAGGGTAAAGTCTCGGTTTGTGATTGTGTGCGTTTGTTTCGGCTGACGGAGGTCAGTTTGACCAGGGTCACAATTCAGCTCTGGCAACTTTCAAAGCAACAGGAAGGTCAAGTGATGACCCAGCAAAGCACACTTGCACGAATGACATGCAATACTTTATCCGCTGGTGTCAATGAGTTTACTGTGCGTGCGTTTCTGTCTTTCACAGCCTGTGTGGATTGATGCCTTCTAGCGCTACAGATGGCTTCCATGCTACTGCCCTCAAGCACCTGTTGCTCATTAGTAACGTTGCGCTCGCTCTGGCTCTCTCCTGACTCTGCAACTCCTCCAATCCCACTGCCCCCTCCATCCCGCTGCAAGACACGGCAGCTTTTCCCCATCCTTAATGTGGAAAAGTTCGCATTCTTCTGTTTAAACTTTGGCTAAATAACTTTAAATAATTTATTTTAAATAAAAATCCCATGCCGATGGTGCGGGTCATCCATCGATCCTATCTTGTTTTGAAAACCGCGATAGAGCGAGTCCGCCATAAACGAACCACGAAGTAGCGAGGGACTGCTGTAGTCTAAAAAATCAAAGTGCTTCATGTGAATGCAACTTTATAAACTTTTTGATGACAGCTGATTTACTGCTGTAAGGTTACTATAGCTGCAGCAGTACTTTTGTTGTAGCTCGGGAGGTTTCCAGCAGGAATATTGAAGTTTTCCTGCTGGAATGCAAAACTGGAGGTGTAGCGGTTTGTAAAACAGCACTCAGGTGAGTCAGTTTGACATTTTGTACCTTCCTAAAACAGGTCGTCACCTTCAGTCATGGCCTCATTTGGATTAGCCATTAGCTCATTGACCCAGTCAGAATTAAACTTGTTTTTTTCCTAATTCAGCTTTTCAAAGGGATAATTAAATAGTCTTTCCACACAACTTAATTTCAATATAAATCTGAACTATCACTTGAACACGGGCTTCAGCGGTGGCAGGATGTGCCACCATGCATGTTTCTTCTTTCTCTTCTGTTGGGAACAGCTAAGTTATTTAGTTGCTGACACAAAGTTATAATTTGACTGCACAATTGTTTTGGAAAAAGACTGTCACTTATTAATGGTCTGAAAAAAGAAGGTAATTCTTTCACCAGCAGTTGCAGGAAAACACCTAAAACATCTCCCGTAAGGACAAGTAGTTTTCCACATAACAACTAAACAACATGGCTTCTTTTGATACAGCACGTACACAATTCAGTCTGATTAAAACTAAAAGATATGAAAACATTTGTTTGTGGGCTCAACCGTTTGTGCTTTGACCTTAGTGGCTACAGCTGGCTTCTCTTTCACTCACAGCATCCGTGCCGTCCTTACCGTTTGTACCTGGAGCATGAGGTTATAAAGATAATCCTGGCCGTGGTGACACGCCTCTGATTTGTACAGCAGCAGCTCTGTTCTCGTAAAGGTTGTTGTTTGAGAGACTAAGAAGTTTTCAGATGGAAAACTCCAAGACGTGAATGAAGAGCACTTTAAAAGCAGGCCCCGTTTATTCCTTAAAAAATATATATAAACTTGGCCCCTTCTGGCAAAGCAGACGGCAGTAGATGAAGGCAAGTAGATTAAGCACTTTCTCTGAGATTAGAGCCTCTCGTTGAGAGATTACTGAGACAGGAGGCCAAGCAAAGGGCTGCTTATCTGGTCCTAATGCTTCTTGCCAGCCCTCGTCCACCTCTTCAGCCAAAAACGGCCCCTTTTTTCACCCCAGGGGTGAACTGAAGCAAGATCGCTCCTCCGTCTGCCCAATGAGATTTCAGCACTCTGTTCTCTCCTGTTCTAAAAATACCACTCTCGGTTAGAAAACATCCTTTCTGCCCATGGGAACTTCAGCTCCAAAGTCCCCAGATCCATTTTCTGAGCATTAAATAAGTGGAAATAACTTTTCCTTAAAACTGCCACCCTCCCTGTTTTTACATTCTGTCCCAGTGTGGTGACATAAAATGAGCTCATTCAATGGAGGATAAACTTTGGACTCCCAGCCCAGTGTGGTCGTGTGGTTTCCATGGTAACAGTGGGGTGAATAATGCGCAGTTTGTGTTATCGCGGGTAGTTCGGCGGCAGCCATGAGTATGTGTGCTTTTTGTGCGTCTCACCTCGATGTCGCGAATCAATAGCTGCGTTGGCGTTTCCACGGGGGATTTGGTATCGATGATTTTCTGGACGGCGCAAGCCCAGTGCACGGCTTCGTTGAAGTGCTTGGTGTACAGCCTGTAGCAGTGTTTCCGCCCATAAACCGTGATGCTCCAGTAACCTGAAAAAAGAAAGTGTCACTTTTCACAATGTGCCTGATCTTTCAGGGCATTTTAGGTAAATGGGTAAGAGAGCCGTACGGGGCGCTTTGCATGTCGACCTCAATTCCCTCTCCCCCGACTTCCTCTCTCAGTTTCACTTTGGATCAAAGGTCAAGATCACACAAAAACCTCATGCCACACCAAACAAGAGCAGTTATTCTGAGGTGTCTCATCGTGGAATAAAGCTGAAAGAAAGGCATGCTTCCTCTATGCACAGAGGAAGTACTGGATATGCCCCAGGCAGCCCGGCTTGATCTGCAGCTGCACGGTTGGTATCAGACGTTCCTGCTACGTGACTTGGCAGCACACCGTTTGTTGTTTAGTCCTCAGTGAGGCATAAATCCAAAATTATGACTTGCTTAATATAACTCAAGCTAAACGAGTTTTAATGATTATTCTCATGCTGGTATTGTCATTTCTCCTTTTTATCATTTGGCGTCCTTCGATTACCACTGCTGTAAAGGGACAACAATGTCCCTAATTCAACTCATTTTAGGGAACTAGTATTTGTTGGTAATGACCAGAAAACGCATAGAGGAAGTAAAGATTTACTACAACTCGCTTCTGACAGATTTCTCAGTAAGGGAGCATAAATCCACCTCGTAGCGAAACAGTCGATGAAACTTGTGACAAAGCTTCTGCTGAAAGCAAACTTCTGCCAGAAACCCCCCATGTATACTGGTTTTGTAAGACCTCTTCGCTCACAGAATCATTTTTGGGATTTTTACTAGTTTGATTAAGTCGATGTGGAATAATTCTACCCCACTAATGAATGGGCAGACACACTTTTGAGGGCAACAAGTTTTTAAAAAAGTAAAAAATATAAAGCTAACACTTTCCCACTGGAATCTTTAACTCTTTTGAATCATTTACTAAAAAAATGAAGGTATGTAACTCAGAAGAGAGCTAGCCCACCCATAAGACACGATTTTGGACACAACTGGAACTTCCCAAACGTACTCAGAACTGTTGCACACATTGGAGGGCAAAGTGGACCAGAGGATATCGAAACTTCCAGGAATAATACCTTGGGGATTTTCTGTTAAACCGGTGGGGTAGTCTACATTTTTGTAGTGGATATACCACGGTTAGTTTGACATTGGACGTTGGACACCGTTGAAGCCACGGAGCACGAATGTCCAACGTAAAACTAACTTTACCACAGTCGGTCCGAATACTGTGCTTAGAAACCCAAGTACACTGGTTAGTACTATGTAATTGTCAATTTATTTTGATTTGTAAGCATATTGAACATTTCAAAATTTCTCTGATGGTTATACACTGCCTGACCAAAAAAAAAACAGTCGACACCAAATAAAAAGGTCACACTTATATTTGGTTGGAGCGCCTTTAGCTTTGATCACATCCTTCTCTGTGTCATTGTTTCAATAAACTTCTTCAATGTCACAAGATCTATTTCATCCAGTGTTGCATTAAATGTTTCACCAAGATCTTTCATTGATGACGAGACACTGGTCATGATGGTGCATCACTTCTCCTGCCTCTCTTCTGACCCTGATGCACCATCACTCTGGAGCAGGGTCAACCTGGACTCATCAGACCACGTGACCTTCTTCTCTTTAAGTGATCACTGATCACCATCATTCAGGATTTATTTCCGGCCACATTTCTTCCTGGAAGACGATGGGTCCCCACTGTCCTTCCAGTTTTTAATAATGCGTTGGACAGTTCTTAACCCAGTTTTAGTTTCTTCAATCTCCTGAGATGTTTCCTCTGCTTGATGCCAATGATTTGACCCTTCTCAAACAGACGGACATCTTCTCCACACCATGAGTCTTTCATCATGTTGTTGAAGAAATGAGAAGCAACTCATTGCACCAGTTGGAGTTAAACAACTTGTTGCAGCTGAAGCATAATCGCCCGTGCAGTGATGATCCAACAGGAGGCTCGGACCTGTTTCAGTAGTTAAATCCAGGTGGAGACTTGTTTTTTTGGCCAGGCAGAGTATTTCAATAAATGAACATCAAACTTTGTACAACCGTTGGCTTTGTATCCAAACATGTTATAGAATTTATAAAACAGTATCAAAGCAAAACACGTTCAAGTATCAAGCTGTAAGTACAGAAATCTTAATTATACAATAATTCACTGGATAAGCGAATGTAATGAACAAGCGCTGCATACCAGTAGATTGTTACAGAAGCGTTTAACTGCCCTTTAACGTATCAATGACACGTGCCTAATGATAGGTCATGTATCATAGGACACGTTTAAGTACTTATACTGAAATACTTAAGCTTTTCTAGTGGGTATACTCCATATACCCGCGTATCGCATCAACTGCACCACTGTGTTAAACATTAAAGAGATTAAAACAAGTCTGGCTGAGTTTTTACATAAATAACCAAGAATGTGTCCATGATTGCGTCCGTTATAATTTAGCAGAATATCTACAATTGTTTATTTCATTTTTTGCTCACCTGTCTCCTTGAATGTCTGCTTGTCTGGCCAAATGACAGAGCAAAGGCTGGTGAGAACCAGTGTTCCCAGTCTGCGAGCTCCTCTCTCTGGTCCGCTGTAGTAGTCAAGAGAATCCTGGCTCAGCACAAACCAGTACCGTCGGTGCCTTAGCCAGCCTCCTCGCACCTCCCGCAGCAGCCAGCCTTTCAATAAGAGACACCAACATCACCGGACAAGTCAGCTTCAAAACCCCTCACGGCAGTGGAGCAACAAGAACTACTTCATCGAATGGAAACTCATCATAAAATGTATTTTATAAGCTCAGGGATTTCATTTTTATACATGTTGATATGTGCATTTTACATGATTGGTTTGCACAAAATTAGGCATTTACCTTGAAATAATTATGCAGTAGGAGAGTAATCATGGAGCTACTTAACCAAAGCTGCCATGCCTCGTCTTTAATGAGGAAAAACCTCAAGGCGTGCAATTCTTTGCAAAGTTTGTTGAAGTTTCAATGTGCGACTGCCCTGTTGGGGTAAATGCTAGGGGGATAAAAATACAGCAAGCTAATAGCACAGGCATTAAGTGCTGCATGCTGCCAAAGTTAATTACCACTTTTGAGGTTAACTGAGTGAGTAAAGTGTGTGTGTGTGTTGGGGGGCAGAGTTATTGCAGTCCGACAGACAAACAGCAGCCATTGTGGCTGTAGGGGGCTCCACGATGCAATACTGTTGTGCTCTAAAGTTCTGAGGGTTTAGGGACACCGCAGATCCACTGTTCCCAAACTTCCCCCTCCATGTTAGATATTTCTATCATCACCTGCGGCCAGAAGCAAAGGCAAATGCTATTGTTCTATGCCTGTGTGTGTATACATGTGCGTTTCTATGTCTTCAGCATTAGCAAAATATCTCATGAACTATTACATTTTCATAAAGTAATCATTAGATATACATCTGCAACACATTTTTCCACTGAAGTTGACCACCACAGCAAAAAAAAACTTAATCAAACCCCCAAATTGTTATACCTCAGTCAATTGTACAGATATTTACCATGTCTACTTTTGATTTGGTCAGAGTTAAGAGTTAAGAGTCGTCCTGTACACACTTTCTGAGTGCAAGATTTCACAACACCGCTTGAATTTCTGCATAACATCATTGTCTAGTAGGTTTAACCCAAAGGGCTATAACTCCACTCCCTCTCAACATCGGATGATTTCAAATTAAAACTCTGGCATGGACAACTGGGTTCAATATGCTCGTCTTGAAGGAACGCTCGGACTTTTATTCCTAGTAAGTTAATCTTAGAGCACAGAAACTAGGTTGACAGAGTTTCTGTCCAAATGCGGTCTAAAGACAAACAGAAAAAAGTAGGGATGCACGATAGTATCGGCATGGTATCGGTATCGGCCGATATTCGCGATAAAGTTAAATATCGGACATCGGCCATTCCATCAAAATAACTCACAGATATAAAAAGCTTCTGTTTTAAGTTAAAATTTTAATTTAAGAAACTGTCAAGTATATCTATTAATGCACTACAACTTATGCACTTTTCTCTTGTCACTTGTGAACAAGTTGAGTTTAGATTTGGGAAATGTGCACTGTTCGAGTGTTGTCATCGTGTTAGAGAGTAAATGTCATGAATAAATTTGACATTTAACAAAATCCAAGTTGAAGTGTTGCATCATTTTCAGCCCCCTTTTTGTAGTATTTTAATTCCACAGCAGAGAAACTTATGTAGTCTCTGCAAGTAGATCTAGGGGAAAAAATATCGGTATTGATATCGGTTATCGGCCAAATAAGTTCTAACCCATTGGGATATTGGCCAAAAATCCAATATCGTGTATCCCTAACAAAAAGTTGTGGTGGTAGTTGGGGTGGTGGCCAGAGTTTATTACACAACAAGCTGATGGTGAGGGTGAAAAGATTAGCTAAAGGCCACCTGGAGCAGGTCCTGATTTTAGACTGGCAGGGTGACTTTATGTAGCTTGTGCACGGCGCTTGTGCACGCCTGCTTTGGGAGTCGCTTTAAAGGAACAATTAGAAAAAAACACACCTTCAGCTTCCAACACTGAAAACTGTAATGACGCCACAGCAGCATCACAACTTCCTCTGCGGTTAGCAAGCTGCATGCCACCTGTAAGCCGAGCCCTCATTTCACCAGCATCTTTCTTCCTCCTGCTCTCACTCTCTTCCGTTTTGCTTTCATCTGCCCAACTCCTCCTCCAGCCCTTCGTTTTAACCTTACCCCAGTGTGGTTTTCCCAGGCAGTACAAAGATCCCACTGCTTTGCTGTTGCTCAAAATAAAAATAAAGAGAAAAAGAAGAGGGTGAAGGTTAGGCCTCTCAGCTTTAACCTGCCAGTGCAATGCAGCCCAAAGTAAAAGCGCAGGAAGGACTTTGCACCACATAAGATGGGATTTACTTTAAAAGTTGATGTGAAAGGGATTAATAAAAAATGTGAGTTAAGTGGGGCTGAGCTTGCTGACAGACTGGATGTGGGACAGTTTCAGACAAGTTGTCTGGGTGAGACAACTGAAAGAAGGGCATGTCTGCCACCCTGACGCCTCAGCCACAGGCGGACGACGTCCCACAGATGCTGCTCGTTTTCACGTCTTTAAGCAGCGCGATAAGAAACAGCAAAGAAGAGTCCCAAAGACGAGAAAAGTCCAAAGACCCCCTGTGTACTCCTCTCATGATGTTCCATCTGGATCCCATCTCTGTAGCCTGCTAATGTTTCCCCTGGGGGCCACGACTCGCCCTTAATTTGTTTCATTTGTGACCTTTGACCCCTCAGTGCCCTGCCCCCTCAAACATGGACTGAGCAAACAATCTGTGTATTTTTTACTGCAATCCTCCTGCAATTCTTTCGAAAGCTCAGCTTTTCTTCCATGTACATCATGTTGCACAATGTTCAAATAAACGATAACCATCAGAGGTGAAGAACATTTTACTCTAAAGATCAGTTAAAGTCGCAAAAATCACGAAAGATTAGTAGCACTGGTGTTTTGGTAGTTCATTAAAACTCAAAAAGGACTTTTCTAAAATAGAATCAAAACATCAAGGAAACACTTTTGTAATTCTGTAGAAGTTAAAGTGAAGAACTGGGTGGAGGTCTGAAGTTTTAAAACAATTTTTGCAAAAGTATCCGGTGACTTCAGCGACTGTTACAAATCCTAATGTGGTCAACCGGCTGTTAAAGCTGTCTTTGTAATTTAATGATGAAAATGTAAAAAAAAAAAAAAACATGCCACTTTAAAAAAATGGGTAAATTGTTTTTTTTTTTTCTAAATTAACCCTGAACTTTAAATTTGTATACATTAAACTCAGACAACCTTTCCTCCTTTAGGCTCCGACATACCCAGACAGCTCCACTGTCGTTTATTGGAGCATGCAAAACTGTGCTTCATGTGAGGAGTAATTTTAACTGTAAATCAACAAAAGGTATGTCAATAAACCAATGTCAACATCACTTTCTGTCACCACGTTATGGCTTTTACAATTTATCCTCACATCATCGGTCTATATCTGCAATGGCAGTGGCCTATTTTAGACACTGAGGCAATATTCAGCCACATGGCCTCAGGAAGTCTTGAAAAAAACACAGTGACTGGGGGAAAGCCCTAACAGAGGCTTTCTTTAAAACACGTTCTTGTGCAGCAAATGGAGAAAAATAAGAGGGATTATCTAACACCATCAGGTGTGCTGCAGTCGGGGTGCCTGTAAGAGTGGTCTACTGAAGAATGGTTGGGCGATGCAAAAGCTACAATTTGAAAAAGGACAGCGAGCATGAAAAATAGCTCCTCAGGTTTGTAGAAAAACCTTGTGACAAACGGAGAGTGGGCACAGGAGTAGGGCTAGCCAGGGAGGCATGGCAACTGCAGTCAGAATTAGGCAATGGGACTGTCGCCGCTCCAAACAGGACAGAGCGAATCCAAGCGATGGCATTTTACTGCTCCGTTTCAGCCGGACAAAAAAGGAGAATGAAAACAGATTTGCCCAAAAATATCCCATGAGATCATTCCTAAAAAATATGCAAGACAAGGTTTCTAATGGCAGTAGCTGTGCACCGCATGTGGTCAAAGAGGGGTTAGCTGCAGGGCAGCAGCCCAGAATGGAGCTGCAACAGGAGACGGTTTGGATGATGAATTAAATACAACATTTAATCACGTGACAAGCACAAAGTAGCACAGCAAAGTACTGGAAAACTATCTAGGGCTGCAACTTACCAGAATTTACACTAATTCATTCTACTTGCATCGTTATACGCTACCATGTTGTTTACTACCGGTATATTGCTTTTGGACCTTATAAATAAATTTCTTTTCACTTTTGGTACTTTATTTTGTACCTTTAATGTATGCTCCAGTATTTCTTGGTTGTTGTTTTTTTTAGCGAGTCAGATCGGTTCTTCTCATCCTGAACATTTCAGTGCATTAACAACAAAGTCCATGCGCAATAATCCAGATATACAATCCAACAATTTTCAGTCCGGTCATCTGGACAGTTTCTTTGTTTTCAGTGCATTGTTGATCTTGTGTTGACCATAAACTAAACTTCAGATTATTGAATGGTCAGTCATCAAGAGGTTATTTATTCACATAATATTACAGTCTTGTCTCAGTATGTATGTACATATACATGAACTGTTTGTTATTGTAACTGTTGAACATTTTCTGTCTCTAATTAATTTATTATGATAGCAATGGTTATGACTTATCTGATTGTTGCAGTTGAATGCATTGCTTTAAGGCCGTGGTTCCCAACACTGGTCCTTGAGGAACACCATCCTCATATTTTAATAGTTTCCCTGCTCCAACACACCTGAGTCGTGACTTAAATACATCATCAATTTCTACAGAAGCCTGTTAGTCGCCCATTGATACAAATACAACATGTCAAAGCAGGGAAACAACTAAAACGTACAGGATGGTGTTCCTCAAGGACCAGGGTTGGGAACCCCTGCTTTAAGGAAGATTGGAGTGATAGTTGTGCGGCACATTGTGTTTTGTTGTGCGTCAGACTCACCTTTCACTAAAAGTTCAGGTTCTTCCTCTATTCCCATCTCATTCTCTTCATTGATCAGCTTTTTCATCTTGACAGGTGACTGTGAGACAGTGTGCCTGTGCAGAACAGCAGAAAGAAAATGTAAATAACCCCGCTCCGCTCTCGGCTCAGACCTCCTCCCCACCTCAGCTACTGTAATTGGCTCAGAGACACACTGTTGGCCGTGACTCCCATCCCATGTGACTTGTTGCCAACTACAAGCCTTTCAGACACTCTTTAAGTGGGGGTCGCACAGGGGAGGACTGGAAGGAGTGCCACAAATATCTTCCCTCTCGCCTTTTCCCTCTTTCCCTCCCTAGCAGCACGCAAGCCTGCTGACAAACAGTGATAGACACTGAGCCACCGTGGACAGCTCGACTATCTTTTATCACGTTGGCTGGCGAGGCGAAAAGGCGACTGGAAATAAACGTGACAAGGAGACGCCGGTCTGACTCCCAGCCAGGCAGTCAGTGGTCAGTGGAAGGCAAAAGGTTCAAAAGGTCACAGTCCTGGATAGTTAAAACCATAAACATCTGTAAATCTGATGAACGGCTATTCCTTCTTAAAACTCTGTGTCCAATCATAAAGTTGTGAATGCAACTATTTTCAGTGACTCTTCAGCGTCAGTCTGGCAACGCTGAGGTCAAATTCATATTATCTCAAGCCAAGACTCATTTCCAGTCCGTTAGACTTTCTTATAGATTCGATTTCTGCTCATTTATTTATCCAATAGCTCATTTATTTTCTTTGTTTCCTGGGTTTAAAATGTGAAGTATAAGACAAACACCCCCCTCTTTCCTTCCTCTCCTCCTCCTCTTCCTCTGAACATCCTCCTGGGACCACGGCTGAGGAAACGCACCTCCCAAGGTTATTGGCCTCTAGTAACCTGTGCTTTTGTCAGCTGATTCACGTCAGCATCGATCTGATAATTCCAGGAGGTTCCTCCTCACGGAAGCTGGCAATCAATAAGTCTCAGTATAACCTTATCAGCTTTGACTCGGCTTACATGACTGCAGAATCAGTGTCTTTTCTTTCTGTGAAGTCTGAGGTGATAATGTCTATAATTCACTTTACACGGCTGAACCTCTGTGCAGACGTTTCAGTAACGTGCATTTGCAGAACGGACTCTGCTGCACTGTCGTCTTTTTGTTCAACTTATATTCAGGCAACAAAACAATATATTGGGACAGTTTTTCCTCTGTGGGCATTTAATTTGGAACAACAATTCACCAGAAAGGAAAACCGAGAAACACCGAGTCGTGCTGTGTATTTAGGTCTGGTTGCGTGATACAGTAGGGAATTGATTCTACATATAGAAATACTTAAATACATAAAAATAAACAGAAATATGAGGACATCTTTTATTTTGGGTTGTTTATAACCCCTGCTACATATTTGAAACACTCAGACAGGCACCCTGCAAGGGATGTGACTGTAGAAACACGAAGACGGAGGACCAGGCGTTGTAATGCCAATGTTCTTGTCCTACTGATGCAATTTGAAAACCTCAATTTATTATACACTACCAAACTAAAAAGCTAAAAGAAAAAGTCTCTGGAGATGTAAAAACTAAGCCAAGAACCTGAAAGTTTCTCAAGTGGATATTTAAAGTAGAAGCTAAGGCAAGTCAAACCTCCTGGACTCCAACAGATAAGTCTGAAGTAGGAATAAACATGTTTACAACTTGTTACAACAATTTTGGTTTTAAGACCAAAAATGGGGAAAACCCTTTTTACACAGCTCCCATGTTTCAATTTTACTGAGGCTTAAAAATGTATATCTTATTACCGCCCAGGCTGCTCTGAGTCAGGTTCTTGGTCTAGTCCATCCTTTACATGTGAATGCCAAGTCCAAAAAACATGAACGCAAAAGCCAAACATTAAATTCAAGGCTTTAAAAGATGGCTGCATTCATCTTTTGGATGCAGCGTATGATTACAAGCCCACGTCTGAACTTCAAGTTAGCTTGTGCAAATCAAAACCAGAATCGGACTGTAAAAATATTAACTTTTAACAGTTAATTTAGAGAACTGTGCACAGGGTCGTCTATCTTGGAAAACCATCAGATCAAAACTTGGCTCTTGTTTACAGATTTTCCAATATATACACTTCGCAATAAGCCTAGCACGCCAACTTATCAGATGTTCAGCCCCATGAAAGCCTGTCTCCATTTTTAAATCCTTTCAAGGTCTAATCTATTGCTTCTTTGGGGCCAGCCATGGCGAGCGGGCATGGAAGAAGAAAACAGAACACCAAGCCCCAGTTTCAACCTTTAAAAGCACGAGTGCGTGACCTTTAAAGTGAATGTGTTTCTTGCAAAGTCAGCTCGGCTATTGTGTTCAAAATGTAGACTTAATGTGAACACATTATTCTGAGACCACTAAAAGATCACACCAGGATTACTCCTGGAAACCTGCCATCTGCTTATTACTGCCAAATTCTGTTATCAGACTGTCTGATATGAAAGGAGGCATTATGTTATTGAGTTTATTTGTCATGATATCAGCACAAAGTATGCTGGTAATGACGTGGCATGACAAGGCGGCCATGTGCATTACTAAGTACAGCTCTGTTTCAAAGGAACAGGATGGAAAACGCATTTTAAAAAGTTAAAAACATAAAAATCAAAAGACTTCATGGTGTTTGATGAGTAATTAAAACGTTCCACATGTTGGTGTTTGTAAGGAGTTTATTTTCTCAGGAGTAATCTATGATGTATCAAAGTAAATAATAAAAAGGAGCATGTATTACAGCTTGAGGCAAATGCTTGAGCATAATTGATGTGGTAGCTTTGCATCTCCACAGCTGTCCAACAGCCTCACAACTCCTCAGCCTTACCCCCAATATCACCCCCCCCCCCCCCCCGTATTCCAGTACCACCACCCCCACATTCCCAGAAACTCCAGCAGAGGCCATGGTGATGGGGCCTTTAGTGAGCAGCTTCCTGTGGACCGCAGGAAACGATTTGATACGGGGATTAGACAGCACAGAAAACAGAGTTGGTGCTCATCTGTAGACAGCACCTCGTCCTCCCACCAACCCTCCCCTCCAGGTACAAGTATGCTCCGACAGAGAAGCAATATTTCAGCGTCTCACTGCACATCTGTTGAAACCTGAAATGTGTTAAAAATTACGAGATTGATTCTGCTCTGCGGTTTGAGATCATCACGAAGTGCGGTTTTACTTTCAGACACTCCAGCGTGTCCATTGTTCTGCTGCAGCTGGGATCACTGCAACAACCAAAGCAGACAAAAACAGTGAAAGAGAAAACTCTGGCAAGATCGAATGAGAACAGCAAATAAACCACTGGCTGCCCCATCACTTTAACAGTGCTGGTAAACCAAAATGACTCACTTATTTCATTTAAACCCATAAAATAAGCTGGATTTTGACTAAAAATGACACAATAAAAACACAACTGCATCCCAAAGAACTGCACAGGTGTAGACAATTAAATCTGGGCATCACCAGGTTAAGTTGGACAAAGATTTACTGGAAATAAAATGATGTTACCAAATGCCTTGTGCTGAAGAGAGGCAAACCTGAAAGGTGTCCCACCCATGTTAGTGCAACAAAGCACGCGTGTCACACACACACCGTCAGTCACTTTTGTGCGTCTTCAGGTTCAATCAGCTAAAGCAGGCGAGGATCTTCTGTCTGAATAATGGGAGCTAAACCAGATTTTGGTCCAGCCTCGTAAATGGCATTGTGCACAGTCCCATGCAACATCGTGAGAGTTTGCAAGATGTATTGATGTTTGGAGTATTTGTTGAGTTTTCCTTGTGTGCACCATTAGTCTCATTTACAAGACGCCTCAGTCTGGGACTGACATGCGGTGGCCCTGAGGTGTAAATGAACAACATTTGGAAAAACAGAAATTGTATAATTTTTGAATAATTGTTTTTTTCCAAATGTGATTCCGGACACTTCTGCTTTGGTTTAATGCAATTCCATTTTTTCAAATGCAATTTTGTTTTTTCAAATGTTGTTCATTTACACCTCAGGGCCACCGTACTGACACGTGTTCTGACCACTTGGGTTCCTTCAGAAGACGATGAGGTTGGGGGGGTTTCCGAGACACCCTACCCTGTGTCTCTATCCCTCTACGGGCGGCAGTAACAGGCCCTGAACTCGACTTCTGAAAAGGCGGGTCAGCTTTATAGCTCAAACGGATTTGAATAATGTGACGATGTACGTTTTCAGTGACCACCCAGCTGCGGGATTTAAATGTCCAAACACTGTAGTTGGACACATTTATCTTAGTTGGACACATTTATCCTAGTTGGACACATTTATCTTAGTTGGACACATTTATCTTAGTTGGACACATTTATCCTAGTTGGACACATTTATCTTAGTTGGACACATTTATCTTAGTTGGACACATTTATCTGAGCAGAACTTTCAGTGTGGTTTTTAATCGCTTCTTATTTGTGCAAACACGTTAGTTTTGTCTAACCCCTACTTCAGTATTCCCCAAATCCATTCGGTCATTCTTTAACAAAAAAGCTGCAACTTCACATTCAACAACATCATCTTGGACTACATGAGGACAATGACTAATTTGTTCGTTGTGATTTTCAGATACGTCATGAGAACGAGGTCTGTCCCACATAGAACGTGCGGAGCAACACCTAAGAGCTCCTGGGTCTATTTCCATGCCTCTTTTGAGTCTGCACTGCTAAAAGTACTCTGAAAGCTCAGTTGTGGGCGGGACGTGGTCGTCATCATCAGCGCTTATGAACGATCATAGGGAGATTTAAGACGGACCAGTCTGTGCAGCCATTTAGCAGAACTGTCTTGTGAATGTGGCTATTCAGCACCGGTAAAACATTTGCACTAAAGCTTATAGACTAAATCAAACCAGCAGCATATATGTTGCAACATGTCGCAACATATTTCACATAGGTCATCACACTTAATGAGCATATCACCAGCACACTTTCCTGAGGCCAACGTAGTGGCACACTTAATATGAGCAACCCATCTGGTTGATTAGTTTGTCAGCTTAGTGCTCGTTGCTGCAGTGATGAGTAATTGATTTCAGTCCAGGGTCTAATCACAATGTGATACATTAATTAAAGTGAAAAACTGCTGTCCTTGCTTTTGGGATTCAATGACATGTTCCAACATCCAAATAAGGGGTTCTCACTACTAAAACATAAACAGTTGCAAAACCAATGCATGCATGAGTCGCAGAATTAATAACATGCATGAAAAATGTTATGCATATTTATTCAGTTATCCCACTGGTTCAGATAAATTCAAAAAGGGCATTCAAACAATGCTTACGTGTTAATGTCCATCTCCATTAAAATAATCTTGTTTAACTTGAAACATAAATGTTTTTAAGGCGTTGACAAATATATTGGATGGATAAAACCATAGAACACTTTTTTTTAATTAAAATAAAGTGATTCCTCTACTTTGAGTACAGGTGTATCTCTTTCACTTTCAGTCCCTCTCTCCTCCCCCAGTGCTGCCTGAAACTGGGCTGGTGGGAAAATGGGAATGTGGTGATTAAGATCGGGCCTATATGACCTCCAAGCTAAAAATACACTGTTTACTCAAGACCACTGCCAAGAAATTCTGGCCTAGGCAGAGGACAGGAGGGGGAAAGTCATGTTTTGAGACCGGGGGGGCAGGAAGTCTGAGTTGTGAGTGAAAAAGTGTGTGTTGTCAGCAAGAAATTTTATGATTTAGAGTAAGTGGCTTTTTAGTTTGAATGAAGTCATTCTGTTTGTAAGAGTTTGTGATGAAAATGAAAGCCTTCCATATTTTACACTCTAAACGGAGCCAGTGTGTGCACGTTGACCAACAAGACGGCATACATCCAGACGCACAATTACCTGGGGGGGGGGCCCACACCTAAACTCTTCACGCAAACTCGTTTCATTTATGCACACACCTTTAGGGTCACCAACAAAATACATCCCGAGACACAGGTTTCTTTATGTCAGAAATATTCAGCAGCCACCTTAAAAAAGAAAGATCAAGCTCTTGAATGTGAAGAACTGTCTAAGAAGAGGGAAGGCGCTAATGACAAGGCAGATGGAAGGAATTATGAAAAATGAAGTTCTCAGGTTTGTGTTCTCATCTGGGTACGGTTCGTTTTCTGCCATGTCCAAACTATAGGTAGGGATTTGAGACATAAAGTAGCATGAGAATGAAAGAAATGGGTAAAAATGTAAAACAGATTTGAGTGTTGGAACAGCTGGAGGGAACAAGCAGCTCAGGAGTTTTCTACTGTCTGTACTCTCTGCCTGTCAATCATCCACACCTTCAAAATCAAGAACTGTAAATGAGTGACAGAGTTCTGCAAGGAAACACCTGTTACTGTAGGTCACCGTGTTTCTGTTAGAACAGAAAAAATTAGGTCGACATTCAACAGAATACGTCAGCTAATAATTGATACAGGTTACTAATAATTAGGCCTGTGGTAATGAACAATAAATCAGTTAATCGCATGATAAATGAAAGTTATCGACCTCATTTCCATTTATCACTTTATCGTTTCTTTGTGTCTATCTCTTTTGTTTTCGGTTTTAACCGTCCAAAATCGCATTTTTGGAAGCAGCTAAGCTACGAGCCTCGGGAAAAAAAACCTCCGTCTGGTCAAAACTCCAAAAATTCACAGTTGAAACTCGTGCCTTCGTCTAAAAGTTGTTTTCTCTGAAAAAAGAAGCTGAGAACTTGTTTAATTATTATTTTTTATTAAAAGCTTTGTGTGAAAAATGCTAGAGCTCAAACCACACCAAGTGTCTGCCATTTTGAGAACAGAAAAACAGGAAGGAGAGACAGCCCATGTCACGTCAAGGAGCCTCCCTCCCTTTTTCTTAAAGAGTCACGCTGCTCGCTCCCTCACTATCCATCCTTTGGTTCAACCAGTTTTATACTCCCATCTAGTGATCAAAAAAAGGTACTACACACAAAAATTACCCAACATTTCTTCTTAAATTTGGCAATGGTTACTAATTATTGTCAAATTTCAACCAATATTATCGTTTATTGCAATAATTTCTGAGACAATTAATCACCCAGCAAAATTTGTTATCGTGACAGGCCTACTAAAAATCAATTAGCCATTCAATTAAATGCACTCAATCATATTCATAAATACATTTAAAAGATGTTTAATCTAAAAGTGTCATTAAGAAAATCTAAATATTACCCGTTTTTGTTTGATTTGATACCATTTTTGAGGATTCGGTGAAGTGGCATTTCTTCCGTTCTTACAGAAAAGTAAACTCTTACACTTGTGCATTTATGCTTATCGACAATAAGTCGGAAATTAAGCACTATTTCTGTGCAGATGACACTAAAAATTGTCATTTCAATTATTATTGTAGTCATGTTGAAAAAATCTATACAGTTTTAGTCAAATAGCATTCTTGAGATTGTGGTTATCTGAAGTGTAATGTAACACCCTTTAACTTAACAGTTCAATTCAACCCCTTAAATTAAATGCAACATTAAACCAGAGCAGTCTTGCCTGTTAGACAGGATGTAAAATAAATGTACGTCACACCACTTGTTATTTCACAAAGTGCTGACCAATCTGAGCCTCGTCTGTCATTTCCTTAACGCACCTGAACTTGTGGGCGTATCCTCCAGTTGCTCAGATAACGACCGAGCACTACATTCTCTAATCTCTCCACAGTGTGATGATTACAGCCAAGCTTTTAACACACTCCCTTCAAAACCTGTAATTAATTATGCCATGTCGCCCAAGGCCACTGCCACTAAACTGGAGAAATCTCTCGCACACACTCACATCCAAGCCATGCCTTCTCTGGGAGTGTTAATGGGGTAGATTGAGTCACACAATGTCCAGTCCTCTCTCCTTCCTCTCCATTTTCCCCCCTTCAAGCCTCAGGAGACAGCATGTCCCGTATGACTACAGCAAAATGTCTCACTTAGCCACATCCCTGGGCTGTTTGATTCCTTTTGAGAGTCATTGCAGATTGCTGTCTGTTCATTTGTGGCGTAGGATAGCCCTACATGTCAAGCTTTGTGACTCATTGCCAGTGAGTCGGCAGATGTACAGTAGAGATTATGCATGAGGGATGGGGGAGTTTGGGGGGAGGGATAAGGGCAGGATGCCAGAGATAGAGAGGAGCAGAGCCTGGCTACATCACTGCCTGAGATCACAGCCATGAACAAATAGTCTGGATCTGGCCCTTCATGAATTGCTCCTTTTTCACTGACACACAGCATTCATTTGTAAAACATACATTCATGTAAAGTTCACAGTTTGGAAAATGCATACTGGTTTATTGCCGACACTAGTTTTGGTGAACAGCCTTTGAACCAAAGGATTTATAGACGTGGATGCAGGACAAAATGTGATCAATCACATTTTGGTTTAGTGTGACCCATCACTGGTAGATGTAGCCCAAAATGGCAAAATTCAAACTCAGCATTACAAGCAAAAACTAAAAAAAAAAAAAATCTTAGTCACTCGAATGCATATGCGTGAGGAGCACCACACGAGATGCTGCAGAGGAAGTGAAAAGTCTAGTACTGACAAATGTACCCATCTTAGGATAAATACAGAAATCCCCAGCCATCAGGGGAAGTATACAAGAAGAAAAGGGAAGTATAACTTCTGAAGTTTATGAATTTATTTATTTTTCCTTACCCATTAGTTCCATTGGCTGTTGGCTGAGAAGCAATCACCTCAGCTGGACTCTGTCAACAAAAGAGCGAGAAGAAAGGGGTAAATGAATAGTAATGCAACACAAACAGTAGTCTGTCCTTAGGACTATCCACAGGTTGGAGTGGTCTTTAATGGTTTGCCTTTAGAGACCATGTTATAGCAGTGCAAGCAGTTGTTCCTGGCAGCCTTTGCACATAGTTGCACTGCTCCTGTAATGCTTGGCTTTCACTTGCAAGGGGTAAAGCTGGTGGGGAGAAATATGGCATGCAAAACAGGCTAATTTAGTGTAAGGGCTCCGAACAGAGGGATCTTTTGTGCTAGGTTCATGCATGCAGCCCAGTTTTCACACTCCAGAAAAGTTTAATTCAGACTGGTCATTTCTCTAGGAAAGGTAACCTAAAAATAACCCTATTTTTTACACTGTGCTCATAACAGCAACAGCTGCCTTCACCTTTTCTATCCACCGGTTAATGGAGAACGACTGTTGTAAAAGAGATGTACATAAACAGGACTTTATTTAGCAGTTATCAGAGTACCAACAACATGTAAGTAATGCAGTAATAGCTATGCAGATATTCATAATAATATGCATAAAACTCATTCTGAACACTAAGTGAACTCTAAATTTACTGGGTAAATGAGAACCCATTTGGTACACATTTAAAAATAAATCAAATGTTAAGTTTTGAACAATGATATCTATGTAAGCAGAAGATAGGAGAGGATGTTTCCATTCACAGTGCCCCAGCTTTTAGCTCCCAACCTGACCTTGGAAAACCCCATGAGACATCAGAGCTCACCAGTGTGCAGTTTGGACTAATTCCCTGGTGTGCAGAGTAGCACTGTGTGTCCCCATGGCCTGGCTTGTTGTCTCTGCGAACCACAGCCTTGAGCCAGCTCCTGTGGCTGCCCCAGCCCAACTCGGCCCACCTGAAACACTATCCAGGTCAGCTCTGGGCCCCTCACAGTTCACACACCACACTTTACTACTGGGCAAACTATCCTAAGTATAGCTGTTGCTCCACAAAAAACATTCTCCTGCTTCTTTTTAGATGCCTTAAAAATAACTAAGTAAACATATGCTGCACTCTTAGAGTTTGGTATCAAATCTGAATTATATTTTTAAGGAAAATGGACCTTGAGGCAAATGTGGAAATGACTGGGGTCTGGATAATGGCATTTCATCAATGTTTAACTCAAAAGAGGTGCTGCAGATGCCAAACCAGACAGGCAAGAATAACTGAACAGCATTATGGAAGATGGACTGTAATGTAATTCCCTGTGTCTGCCATTAACCATGCAGTGAATGTTTAAGACAAGCCAACAGCCACAAAAGACTCTGATCGCTATTACTAAGAAAACAAATAAAGCATTAATAAAATCAGCACAAGAGAAGCTATGATTTCAAAATATGAAATGGCATGATTATAATTTTAAAAGTTCAAGTAAAGTTTAAATACTTTGAGTCATTCTTTACAAAAAGTGACAATTCAAAGAAAAACTCTTCCAATAGAGTGAATGAGCTGTAGGATAAAAAAAAAGAAACAAAACAGAAACAAAGATAACGTGCAATGCTGAGCTTTGGCACATCTCCCTTTGGACAGGCGGAGGATGAATCACTCCAGACTAGTGCCAAGCATGAAGGGAAAGACGGAAAAGATGGCGTGATGTGTTCGCTTCGTGGCTGACTTCCGCTCTCGCTTTCCAGTCTACTCTCTTGCTCTCTTTCTCTTTCCCTTCAGCTCTCCTGGGAGGCTGAGTAACTATGAGGAAATGCTTGGGCTTAGCTCGTGTCGGCCTGAAGACCAGATGTGTGGCCTAGAGGTGGTGAGGCAGAGACGCAACAAAAACCAAATATAAACTAGCATACCATGACACCTCAGAAGGCAAAGGGCAGTAGGGATGGTTAACGGATCCACTCTCACCAAAGCTGGACTGTGCCTGATTGTTCCAAGAATGAGATTTATGGCGGCGCTCCAGTACACACTCACAACTGCCAAGGCCTGAACACTGTGTGGCGGTAGTTATTGGTAAATGTGACTTAACATCACATAAAAAAATGGAGAAAATATTTCTAATGAAACATGGAAATAAGAGTGAATGACAGATGTCCTGTCCAAAAATGAGTGCCAAGCTGTCCTAACACTGGAAGCATTCAGCCCAGTGTGAATGTTTGGGCAGCTGTTAAAGAGCAGTTTCGTTGAATGAAGACTGTAAACACGAAGGGAAAAGGTTCTGACATGGCCCTGTGCTCCTGAGGATCAAGCTTACCACATACGTCAGCTCTGACTCACAGTTCTTACCCCATTCAAGAAGAGTCCTGCCAAAGAACACTGGCACCTATGACTTTGGTACTGTGGATGCCACACATCATGCCATCCTCTGGCTTGTTGGCTAACAATTCTAGTTGTGGTCTCTAGAAGAGAGGCTCCACCAGTTTTGTGGGTCACTGTGGTTATCCTTGGAGAAAGGCCAGCTAAATGGAATTTCAGTGTTGTGAGGCCCATAAGAAGCACACACATGCAACAGGGTAGGGAAGGGGGGTCTGAGTTACTGACAGAAATCCAACTTTAAACAGTCCCTGAGCTGCCTTCTCTGGAAATCTCTGCAGACCTTCAGTCTTACCAAACCCTTTCTGTCAACTTTATTAAATGCAAATCCAAAGCTCTTTATTCTAACAACAGTAGATTAGTTTTTATTCCAGCAATTGATGGGTGCAATTGAGCAGTTGGGGGTCTTGGTTTAGAGTAGTTTTAGACATACTCCAAGTATTGGAAAAGCATCAACTTAAGAGTGAAATGGTAAATGGATTGTCCTTATATAGAATCTTTCTATCTAATCAAAGCTCTTAACAACAATCCGTGCCTCATTTACCCATGCATACAGCTCTATACTAGATCTCTACAACGCTAAGTGAACAAATCATTCTAAAGAGACTAATCGGTGCTTTGTCACATTCATACATCGATGGGACACACATCAGAGGCAATGAGGGGTTTGGTGTCTTGTCCAGGGGCACTTCAGCATGTGACTGCTGGTGGATTCAAACCCCCAACTCTTGCATTGGACGACTGCTCTAACCACTCAGCCACAGCCGCCTGTTGCAATGTATACCACAACTAAAGGGCACAAACCAAGAAAATTTATCATTTAGCAGAGTTGACTGTTAGGATCAACTATTTATTCATCAATGCCATCATACCTGATTTTATTTATGGTAACTTCCGTTAAACCAAAAAAGTGGTTCATTGCTTTTGATAACTTGACAACTTTAAGTACAAGAGTAAAGTGATGCCGTCTATTAGTAAGTAATCTGATCAACTAAATAAGTCAACACAAAAGACATAAACATCATCCAGGTTGACAACATTTTATGTCTTAGCATGTGGAAATTCATACTCGTGAATATTTCTGGGCATAAATCTATGGAGGTGTCTAATCAGAGAGGCAACATAATTTCAGGAGATAGAGACAGTTTAAAGATAATGAAGATGTTTAAGAATTTTATATGAGCTTGTCTAATGTAATCTGTTTCATATCAAAGTGCATGGATGGTACATCAAAAGAAAAGGGCAAGGCAACACAACCTAGGGTGTTAGCAGACTGGTGTTTCACTCCCTCTGGTTTCATCTCATTTTGACACCACTTTGTCAGTTTGACATGCAATGGTTAAAACCTAAACCTGATCAATTTTTATTGTCGCTATATTATAACTGATTTTTCCATCTACAGTTTGGTCATATATGCAAAGATGTAAGCAATGCATACAAAAATATAGCCAATAATTAAATGTTTTTGGCTTTAAGAATTTGGCCAGCCCTGTTTTAATCCTTAAGGCAAACCATTTCTTCAAGCAAAACCTCCCAAACGTTCTAAACAGAGGACACTCATAAAACATTAAACTGAAGATCCTTGGAGGAGCTGAGGTTGCATCTTAATGAGTAATGTGGGAAAAGTACAGTAAAGAATCACTTTAGTTGGCCATCTCCATTGGGACATGTTGCAATGATCTGATACTGGTTGTAGATACGGAGCAGTGGTCAGCCAGATGGTACGTTTAAGAGGAAGATAGTGTGCATGCACTGCCACAAACCAGCACCTCAAAGAGCAACAGATGTTGCTCTTATCTGGGGGTTGTTGGTGCAGTTAAGATTTCTGTTGAGCCAATAACTGTGTAAACTTATCTGTCCCAAATGTTTTCATGCAAATGTGTCGTATGGTGCTGGATGGCACACAGAAGGACCAACAAACAGAAAACAGGATATACAAGTTATAAAATTACAGTGGTTTTACTCTTACCAGCAAAGCCTCACCTCAGGCACACTTGATGCAAAAACAACGTAGATGAGTGGATTTATTTTCTAAAGTGCTGTATAAGAGATGCATGATGGATTATACAGAACGAGCCTACCTCATTTTGAGGCAACAATGCCCCTTACAAGTGGGCGGACAATGCTGAACTCTCTGTGCCTGATCAGATGACTAACATTAGAGAAGACAAGGCCACAGTCTTATTTGAAACTGAGGCCAAGCACACTGGATCGGTTCAGCTCGCTGAGTTTTACAGCTTGCATCAGAGCATGTGTGTGGGATTGCTCAATGTTGCCTCAGCTTCAAAGATCGAGCAAACTTGACCGTCAAAACTGAACAGAGGCGCTTTTTTCTTGCTCAACCAGAATAATAAAGACTGGTGACTGATAAACCTGATCATCCACACAGCTAATGTGTGTACTCGTGTTTGCACTGTGGTTTGTCACTGCAGAGCAACAATACTGCGAAACGTTTGTACTTCTTATCACACCTTTCAGTTCCAGTGTTTACCTTTCAGGAGTAATCTTCTTTTTTTAAATCAAGATCTATGGACAGAACTGCTCAAACACTGAAATCATGCATGCCACAAATTCAACTTCTGCTCTAAAAAGTTCAATTTGGATCACACAATCATTTAATCTTCAATCTAAATCTTGTTGGTTGATTTTTAATAATGCACATAAACTGGTTGTTTTGCACTGGAGCAATAATACGAGCTTTAAAGGCAACCAAATACTGATGATTAAATCTGAGCATTAGCTTCAAATGTGCTTTTCATTTTACTGAATATAAACTGTTCCAAAGTGCTTTTCTTACTGCACACGTGCATTAGGCCAGTGAACCCTGGATTGGTACCAAACCTGAAGGCATTTTGCTTTATGTCCTTCTGAGAGATTCTGAATCCATGATGCCATCCATGAAGATGATTACATTATTTTTTTACATTTAAACAATCAAGTTGAGCAGAACCAGTTGACTAAATTAGGTAAATAGAACAGTTCTCAGTTTTAGAGTGCAACAAGCAGGCGTTTCGTGTAAATGCAAGTAGAAGGTGTGACACAGTGCAGGTGGACAGAGGTTCAGCTTTACCCGTCCATTGGGAGTCAAGTCCTTGTTGCGCAATTCAAACGATTCTTCCTCCTCTTTCTCCCCATAGTCCCGTCCCAGCAAACTGAAGCCCTGCCTGCAGCACAAGAACCAGCAAACTCCTTGCAAAGGCATTCAAATGCGAATAAAAGAGTGGATTTCTGCAGGCCAGGTCCGTGGATTCAGCGTTCACGCCGCAACAAGTGTGAGTCCAGGAGGTGCCATAGATGATGTCCAAAGCACGAGAAGCCCGTCCTCTCCTCTCTGTGCTCAAACTAGGACGCGTTCACGCTGGCAGCAGTCATGCTCCAAGTCAGCTGAGAGGAAACTCTGTCAGGACTCCAGCTGTTGGTTTAACTTCATAATAAAGTCCGACCTGAAGTAATGATTAAATATCCTGCGTGGATTATGATCAAATCACCATGTTTTGGGGCGAAGCGTTGGAAAGCACCTCTCACCGCTGACCGACTTCAGTTTTGAACAAAGCGCGTGCGTGCAGCAGCTGGGTCAGGATGGTGTGGGAAACAAGCCACGCCCGCTCGTTTCCACTCTAACATACGATTGGCTGAGAGCAGACGCTCCCCGCAGCGACACGCCCCAAACCACGCCCCGTCCCTCTGACAGCGCAGCTTCTTCCTGCTCGGTGGCGCTTGATCCTCTCCATGTTCACGCAGCTTTCAGCAAACTTCATTTATCCCGCCCATCACTTGTTGTTCCTGTTGAGCTTTTAGCTGTAAATGATTCCTTTTATTAAAGCTGCTACTTAAAAACAGCTTACAGTTAATGTTTTTTATGTCTGTGTTTCTTTGATGGGTTTTAATGAAACTCCCAGAAATTAATTATTAGTTGTAGGCCTACAACTGATTCACTTTTAGAGGCAACTCAAATCAAGATGGCCACATGAAATAGCTCAAAAAATGACTCCAACTCTAATTTTACAGATATTTGGCAAAGATTTGTGGAGGTAGTCGCTGAGAGTTATCCTCAAAACATACTCCGAGCACTTCCTAATGAACGAGATTTGTTTTTGAAAACTTTGGCTGTCGGAGTCAACCCTATCTGTTACAAAAGGGTTTCATGAACAGCTGAGGAGATTTGAGTGAAACTAATCATTGAATGTGCATTTGTTAACTTTTGGAGAAAATATAACTCAAGATGGCCACCAAAGATAACCGACATTAGCTGCTACAAAACATCTGTACATTTTATAGATACTGTAACTTTTTTGTCCCAATCCAATTGACTATGAAACTTTCGACAAAGCTTTAGCAGCAGTGACTTTAAGAACCTTATTTGAGCTAAAGGGCAGAGTTGATTGTGTTGTGATCATTTTAGAATTAGTAATCTCTGACATTCATTATTTCTTTTGTTTACGAAGATTTTTTTAATTGTTCATTTCCTGCTTTTCTTGTTCACACACACATTCCTGTTGGTTTTTCCTCTTTCTCTTTGCTAAACAGCTCATAAAGATGCAGCAGAGGAAGGTGGACTTATCTTAAATCCAGACACGTGTCTCATTTAGCCCAGCTGGCACTCAGCCTTCTTTTTCCTTTAATATCCCTTCATTTCCTCTCTCTGCTCTGTGCAGACTCCTTTCATGCTCCTCGTTCAGCTGGATTTGACTCGGTCCTCAATAAGAGGGCCTCTTAGCAGCTGCAGCTTGAAGACCAAGTTAAAATCATTCAGTTAGTGTCAGTTAGTGTGAAGGCTGATTCACTACTTACACCACTGCTGTCCTGCTTTTTATTTTTGCTTCTTATAAATAAACTGCTTTGTCATACTGTTCCTTTGGCTTTCCTGTTTTTAGTTTTCTACATTTACCTTATAATCTAGCTGTTTTTGTTACTTTTTTGCATCTTATTTGTAAAAAAATAATAATCAATGCCTTTTTATAACGGTCCATTCTTTGTTGAAATCTGGTCTCTCTTGTAAATGAGTCCTCGAGGCTCAATGGGATTAACCTGTAGAAATAAAGGTTGATTGATTATCCATATCAAAAGTTCAGCTTGGTCAGGAGTTGTACTATAACCTTTGGTTATGTAACTTTTATATTTTTCAAAATATTTAACATTTAATATTTAGTGTTTTTAATATTAATAAATCTTCACAATATCTCAAAATGAGTGCAACACGGTGGCTCAGTTCGTAGAGCTGTCGCTTCTCAGTGAGAAGGTCCGCTGGATTGAATTCCAGCCTTTCTGGGTGGAGTTTGCATGTTCTCTCCGTGCATGTGTGGGTTTTCTCCGGGTGCTCCAGTTTCCTCCCACAGACCAAAAACATGCATGTTAGACTGACTGGTAACTGTAAATTGTCCCCAGTGAGAGTGAATGATTGTTTGTCTTGTTTGTCTCTATGTGTCCCTGTGATGGACTGGAGACCTGTCCAGGGTGTCCCAACTCTCCCACAGTGATAGCTGGATATGGGCACCAGTGACATCTGCAACATGGAGAGAAAGAAGTGGGAAAGATAATGGATGGATGGGTGGATGGGTGGATGGGTGGATGGGTGGATGGATGGATGGATGGATGGGTGGATGGATGGATGGATGGATGGATGGGTGGATGGATGGATGGATGGATGG